ATACATGAATATTGTCTATTTGGAGTCAGTAAGGTATTAACCCACATACTTCAACAAAGAGTTAACAAACTTCTGGCTCTAAACAGATAGCACATGTATATTTCTATGGCTTTTAACCAAGTTATTTAGAATCCAATGTAATTAAAACAGTAACTTTTGGCTCTAAACAGATAGAACATTAATTTTTTATGGCTGTAAACAGAGACATTTTATTAGAATCCATTGGATTTAACAGTAAAGAAAGAACAAAAATATGCCTTGAAATTGTAGTAAGGGACAAAAGTGTGATTTATTTTTTGGTCTGTTTTACAGTATACATGACAATATATCAAAAACGAGAATAGGGACAATTATTTTGTACCAAAATGATTCATGGATGATCAGTACTGTAATGTTTACCACTGTTTATATTTGATAAATCATATAATTACATCGTTCTTCGAGGGATAGATGAAATTCTGTCTGTAAATCTGTTCATAGTCTGTATTTTGTGATTGTATGTACAATGTATTTGATCCACTAATTTGTGGTGAAGGGGTGTAATAAAAGAAAAATGGAGAAAGAAATGTTTATGTAGCCTTTGTTTGGTTGTCATTTAAGGGATCGTTTAACAATGCTAAATCTGAGATACACAGCCCTACGTGTTATCAGTGTCTGTGAGATGGTGTAATATTGAAGCCCTAAAAAAATTGCGCTTCAAAATGATCAAGAAGTGCCTCAAGAAAGTGACCGGTTTTACCATACTCGTTTTCCCCAATAGACTGTAGTGTTATGAAAACCTTTTGGCAAACGGTTTTCAAAATTTGTAATTACAATCATAAATATCTTGATAATCAGACAGGCGATCGATCGGCTTGTAAAAGTTATGGGGTTCCTGACTGACCTAAAGGTTTATAATTATCACTGCAGCATGAGCTAAATCCAGAATTTTGTTTCAGAATCCGAGACAAAGTTACCGGATCCCTTACAGAGGTTCACTTCCCATCTCTAGTGGTTTTTATAATTAAAATGATTTGTAAACTATTTTCTCAAAGATTGTCTCTATCCCTACTCTATAAACTCTATTCCCCCCTCCTTACAATGACTGAAAATTGCTCTGTGACCGTTTGTTAGGTTCTAGCTGACACACACCGCAAGTTCCTACAAGATTGCCACATGTGAGATCTAAAAGGGAATATATAATAATAATAATAACTGGATTTATATACCGCATGCTGGGAGATGGTTCCATTGGAGTGGGGCATTATTTAATTTCTCCAAGGTTATCTTTCTTTACTCTATACCCTCTTGTTGCCCCCATCCTTCTAATGATTAACAATATGCCCCTCTAGCTGTTCCTCATTTGTCCATCTGCTTTTCAGTCTTTGTTCCTCTTGCTCTAGCCCTATAAGTGTTTTGGTTGCTTTCTTTGTATCAAGATCCTTCTACATCTGTCGGACCATTTTTTCTCTTGGGTACAACCATGGACCTACTACGAAACTGTCTTCCTCTCTCTCCCTAGCTGTCTCTCATTTGTCTTGTTTGCTTTTCATTCTCTGTAACTCTTACACTCTATCTAGCCAAGTATGTTTCCAAGATCCTTGCCTTTTACTTTCTCTGTCTACTTTTCAGTTCCTCTTCCTCTTCCTCTCTATCTAGCTACGTATGTCTCCAAGATCGCCCTCTAGTAGATGTCTCTCTCTCTCTCTCTCTCTCTCGCCATTTCCCTCTGCCTGTATACATGTCTTCTACCTACTCTCTCTTCCTTACTGCCTTTAACTTTCTTTTCAGTCTCTCCAACTCTTACTCACTATCTAGCTGCGTATGTTTCCAAGATCGCCCTCTAGATCTCTCTCTCTCTGTCTCTTGCCATTTACCTCTGCATGTACACCAACTGTCTTCAACATATTCCTCTCTCTCTAAATGCCTTTTACTTTCTCTGTCTACTTTCCAGTTTTTCTTCCTCTTGCTCTCTCTCTCTGACGGGTTTAGTGTTTTGGTTGCTTTCATTGTATCAAGATCCCGTTTCCTACCTTCAATCAACATGCACATCCCCCAATATGTTTTCTCTCTCCCATCAAATGGCGAAGCTCACTATTTTAAAATCAAATCATGAATCTTTGCAAAACTTGCAACAAATTTACATGAATCTACCTGACACAAAGCATGATTTCAGCACAGTATAATCATAATTTTTTATTTGACAAATTGACGGTTCTTTTAAAGTCTCTTGTCAGTGTTTGTACATGTATTGTATTGTATTTATTAAACTTCATTGAAATACATCAATAATCTGTTTATAAACATATAAATCATATTACAATGCAATGTAACAAATTAATATTCTGTTTGTAAGCATATATCATGTAAATCAATTTTCAATGCAGTTGTATATAGTAAAAAAGAAGGAAAATTATATACAAAATAAATAAAATAATGTACCATAATACATCCAAAGATTTATATACCGGTATATATATATATATATATATATATATATATATAAAACCTAATATAGCAATTTTCGGAATAAATTATAACTCATGCTATACAAAATAGGTAAATGACGTACATGGAATGCCTAAAATAAATGACGTAATAGTACTTATACATATATGCGACCTGCTGTAAAATTAAACCAAAAACATAATATTGTAAATTTTTACTTTACATAGCATCAAAAAGTTACCCCTCAATGCAACTATGTTTTTGGTGAATGAAGAGAAAAATTCTCTTACATCTTTATTGTCTAATCTCATTATAAATATGAATAGGAGTATCTACAAATAAACCCCCAAAAGAACTGAACCGATGCTTGTGAAAACAAAATTCAATAATAAATGAGCAGTAATACAAAAATCCATGTAATATTACCAACGCTCAAAATACACGGGGGCGGTGGGCGATTCGCCCCCGTGAGCTCCACAATCGCCCCCGTCAGATGGTTCACGGGGGCGATTGCAAAATTAAAAATCGCCCCCGTGGAAAATTTAAAATAAAGATTATCTTTTCTGATATAACTTTAACACAATATTGTGTATCAATTTTCAAACCTTAAACCAATAAAATGGAACTAATTAGATGGCGCTTTCTCTCACATCTCTATGAGTATTACCGATACAAACAACAGAGCTCGCAGTGCAGCTGTAGTGCGGCCGTCAGCAGTGGCTATACTGCGCCGGTAGTGCCGGTGTGCACGCTGACGCCCAATATCTGCTGGAGCTGGAGACGATCGCGCAAGGACTGAACATGGAGAAGTTTTTCGTTGTGAAAAGTGTGAATCCTCTGAAATCTGGTTATTCTAAAAAATCAGCAAATAATGTAACTCGACCAGTAAATCAATATTGAGAAGAAGATCACCAAAGATGTTGCAGGGGCGGATCTAGGCGGTTTAGGGGGTTTAACCATCCCCCCCTCCCTTGGGCTGCCGAGTAAAAATGTGATGTGCATAGAAAAATGCTATCATGTGTCATTGTGTCCAGACCTACACAGAATTAGTAGATTTCAGTAGATGCCAGGAAAACATCACTTACGGGGGTTCAAAATAGCAACAACAAAAATCGCCTCGCCGCTACGCGGCTCGTGGATGATGTTCCACATCGTATTTGGGTTACCCCCCACCCCCCACCCTTAGCAAAAAGCTAGATCTGCCCCTGTGTTTTGGAAGGATATGGTAAAAACTAAAAGTAAAGAAAGAATGTATATAAGGTTGCTCCGAATAATGAGGAGGACATTATGTGCAGAGCGGGAAGAAATGGAGAGAATGTCATCACGGAGATAAAAGTCAATAACAGCTATATGTAACAAGTACATTTTTAAGAGGGAAAATGCCGACTTAAATAAATGATAATGATAAAATACCAAGGAATTTAGGAGTTTCATGGGTACCAATTCAATGAAAATTTGTATTAAAAAAAGAGCCCCCGTCGGTACTAAAAGAGCCCCCGTGAGAGGGCTCACGGGGGCTCTTTTTTTTTTGGAAGAGCCCCCGTGGACAAAAAATTAATTTGAGCCTTGAATATTACACTTATCCTGACAATATGGTCTACAACATGCAGTATGGAGACCAATGCACAAACATCCAGTCATGATCTTAATCCAAATTTGAAGAAAAAATATTAAAGACCCTATTTGATAAAAAGAAATCTTATATTAATGAAAAGCTGAATGAACGCAGAATACAAATATAAGGAATACAAAATATTTTTCCTTTCAGTATTGCCCGAAAGTAAATTAAAATTTCTTTTTCCGCACCCCCCTCCCCTCCCCAAATTGGAATGATAGTGGTGGTTATTTTACCTGACAGCTAAGAAAGCAATAAATGCTTGTTAGTAAGCAACCAGAAGACCGACTGATTTAGGTCCTCTCCGAGGGAACTTGGTAATGAGGATTAATGCCTTACCCAAAGGGCACTAGCACATCGACTTGGTTTCGAACCCGGGTCACCGGATTACGAGACCACTGCTCTACCGACTGAGCTATTAACAGGGTCAACAGGGGATAGATTTGCGGCAGTTACGGTAATGGCATGTGGACCTGATCGGCTCACCTATACAGGCAAATGAGCTGTGCTTAATCAATGCAAAGTCATTGTGAATATGCATACTCCACATAAGATGATGTCATCAAGTCGCTAGTGTTTAGGTCGACAACTTCTGATTGAGTGTTCAAGTAAAACTATTACAGTAGAGGTGTCGTGGATGAGAGGATATGTCACTGGACTGTGGATCACAAGGTCCGCGGTTCAAGTCCCACCGCGGCACTAATGTCCTTTGGCAAGACATTGATTTACATTTGCCACTCTCCACCCAGGTGTTAAATGGGTACCCGGTAGGATGCGAAAGCTAATGTGCTTAGATTAGCAAGTGTGCACTTGTAAAAATGATGCACTGGCTGGAATGCTCCCCAGGGAGTGGAGAATGTGCATACATTGTGTGCGGGTAAGCCTGAATCCGATGACCAGGGTAATAATATGATTGCAGGGCCCTCAGGGAGAACAGTATAAATACTGATGAGGCTACCCTTGGTAAACAAGATATTATTATTATTATTATTACATGCAATAATAATAAATGGCATTTATATAGCGCCGTCTATTAAGACAATTCTATTCCAAGGCGCACAAATAAATTATTACCCAGGCTTTAGCCTAACTGCCATTACATTTCAAGGAATTAATTCCTGCCAGGTAACTGTTTACCTCACCTGGTAGATTAATACCTTGCCAAATGACATTAGTGCCGTGTTGGGATGGAACCATGACCTTGGAATTTCAAGTCAAGTGCTAAACCACTCGACTACGACACTGCACAGTGAAGTTTCTAAATTGCAGCAGTCTCAGGAAAAGTTATTGTACAGCTACAACAGGCCCAAATTCTGCAGAGAAAATCCTTGAGCGTTTCAACATCACAAGAACTCCACTTGCGTCTAACTTCATTTCCATGTTGTTGTTCTTGATTTTGAGTCGCGACCCCTAGCCCCAAACAATGTGGATGCTCCTGGACGACCTCTGACCTCTCGCTCGCTGAGGTCAAGCTGGGCAAGTTCTTCATCATACCTGGATGAAGCAGAAAAAATTCAGTTAGATCGAACAAGGTAATTGAAATTCAAAGTAGCCGTTGTTATCAATTTTAAAACAGTAAAATACAGTCCCACTTTTGCACTAGAAGAGCTCTCCAAACACTGCCGAGATTTGTGACGTCACACAAGGGACCAAATAAACATAAGAATACGATGTCCCATGTTCTCTCAATATACGATTCCCATATCAGAGCTCAAGGTTATAGCTTTACGATGTACTTACAGCAGATCATAGTGTCCGTAGCATTCTTTAGGAGGTATCTTGTTCCATCTCACACTGTCAAATGAACAATAGAGAAAGTGCCGGTGAAATGTTTGTCATCTCAGACAACCAGAGTTATGTTAACAGAATTTAAAAAGATACATGGGACTGGAGAGCAGTTTACATGTAGATCTGGGGGGTGTTTCATAAAGATGTTCGTAAGTTACGCACGACTTTACGCACGACTGGAACATGTTCTTGGGTGCTAATCAGATTCTCAATCATTTACATGTAGCACAAGAACATATCACCAGTCGTGCGTAAAGTCGTGCGTAACTTACGAACAGCTTTATGAAACACCCCCCTGGAAAGATTAAAAGAGCTAACGCAAAAATACACTGCAATGTAATGTATAATAAATAGCAGCAACAAAATTTCTTTTTTCCAATTGCACAAACGTAAAAGAGATGTCACAAACTGAAAGATATTTATTACACTGATAAAAGTCATCATACAGTTTCATACATTATCATACAATATAATTTCCCTGAGATTTAACATATGAGCACGTCAGTTTTAGAGCTAGTTTCTTTTTACTTTATAAAGGGATCTGGTAACTTTGTCTCAGATCCTTAAAACAAAAACCTTGATTAAGCTCATGCTGCAATGATAATTATAAACCTTTAGGTTAGTATCAGGAATGCCATGACTTACACAAGCTGATCGCTTGTCTGATTATCAAGATATTTATGATTGAAAATCAAAATCAAATTTTGCGTTTTCCTAATGGTTTTCATTACTCTACAGTTTATCGGGGAAAATGAGTATGGTAAAACTGATCACTCAAAGATTTTTACTTTTTTTTAGGCACTTCATGATCATTTTGAAGCGCAATATTTGTAGGGCTTCAAAATTACACCATATCACAGACAATGACAATACGTAGGGCCATACATCTCAGATTTAACATTGTTAAACGATGCCTTTAAATCTAAACAATAAGGTAACAAAAAGTCTTACTCTGGTGTTTCTCCATTCGGCATGACAATGTTAATGGTGTCGTTGACGAGGTTGTATTTCATAATTCGGTCATTGGCCGTCGTTGATGTCAGTGATGGAGACGCGTTTACCTGGGAGTGAGTAGAAAATATTCATGAAATACTGAAGTCTTGACAGGCATACGAAGCGTACATGATTGAGGGTATTGTACAAGTGCTATGGAAGCGTTTCTGCATCAGGACTATCACAGTCTATAATAATAATAATACAGTCAAACCCTGCTTTAGTGACCACCTGTCTACAAAGACCACCTGTCTACAAAGACCACCTGTCTACAAAGGCCACATTTGTTGTTTCCCTTGAAAATGGTTTCATATTGAATCATGTACTAAAGGAACCTGTCTACAAAGACCACTTTTTGTTGTTTCCCTTGAAAATGGTTTCATATTGAATCATGTACTAAAGGAACCTGTCTACAAAGACCATTTTTTGTGTTTCCCTTGGGTGGTCGCTATAGACAGGTTTGACTGTGCATGAGATTTATAAGCCGCCGAATCTACATGAATCAAATGCTCAAGGCGCAGTTGTGAAGGAAAAAAAAACATGTGCATTATAAACAAAGGAACAGAAGTAAGATAGAGCATACAAAATGACAGAACAATAAATTATATACCGAATTAAACAGATACGTTTTAAATTACTTGAAACACTGATTTGCTATTACGAATCTCACGAGGAAGAGTATTCCACAGCGAAGCCCCTTCTTGAGCAAAGGTTCTTTCCCCTCACTGTAGTATTGAGCTTAGGAAGATCAAGAAATCAGAAGTTATTAGGACATACATATCTGGATGGAATGTCATGATTTATCAAAGTAATATTGTACTGTACAGCAGAGCTAAAAATATGGACACAATGAAATAAAAGCAAAATAATTCCGAACAAAATGTGTTCAGCCATAGAGGGCACCACCAGCCATGGGTATGTTTGGCAAAAGCTGGCACTTCCACTTCCTTTACATATACAATGAGACTATAACTGGAAAGTCTGATAGAAACAGTTTCGGAACCAATAAACTATAAGTATATGTATAATTCTTTGTGACTTTTCTACTCACTTCAATAAGCCATGGTTTTAAGTTGTCATCGATGATGGTGTCATACCCATAACACTCAAAGCAGTGTCTATCATTGGCCATCACAGTCTGGAATGAGAAGACATAAGAGATGAATACCATGAGAGAGAGAGAGAGGGGGGTAGAGAGAGGGTGAGAGAGGGGGAGAGAGGGAGAAAGAGAGAGAAAGAGAGAGGGAGAGAGAGGGGAGGGGATAGACACACAGACAGAGAGAGAGAGAGGGGAGGGAGATAGAGGGGGAGAGAGGGAGAAAGAGAGAGAAAGAGAGAGGGAGAGAGAGGGGAGGGGATAGACAAAGAGAGAGGGGAGGGAGATAGACGGAGAGAGAGAGAGAGAGAGAGGGAGTGGGAGAGAGGGAGTGGGAGAGAGAGAGAGAGAGGGGGGATTGGGATAGACAGAGAGAGAGAGAGAGAGAGGGGGAAGGGAAGGATACACAGACAGACAGAGAGAGAGAGAGGGGGATGGGGATGGGGATGTGGATAGACAGAGAGAGGGGATGGGGATAGAGAGAGAGAGAAAGAGAGAGAGAGAGAGAGAAGAGATGGGATAGGGGAGCAACAGATAATATACACATATATAAAATAGCTCTTAGTCTTTACACACACAAACATGTGATTGTGATTGGTCCACAGCTCCTCAATTCATATCAATTGCAATAATTGTTATTACCGATAGCATATTTCACTCCCAGTAATTCTGTTATGGTTAAATTGATCATCTATTGTCATTGTACTCATTGTACCCATTGTTTGCATCGTCTTAGTCACAATTTGACACAGAAAACTGAGCAGTTTGAGAAAACACAAGGCATGAGATTGCAACTATCCTTAATTTTACATCATAAAGTATACTAAAGGCTATATAATATAACAGATCTTGACTGGTGGGTGTGTGATATGACATCTTTAATTGGAACACAAAGAACTTATACATGTCCCTCTGCACTACAAGTTTTGGAAAATATAACCCACTTCAGCAGTATAGACATATTATTACACACCCTATCAGTCAATATCTGTATAATAAATCTGGGTCCTGTTCCATAAAACTTGTTATCAATAACAAGTGTTGCATTTCTATAACAAATGTGCTACCAGCCAATCAAATTTATGTGATTTCAGTAGTTTATAACCATCATTGTAACTTGTTGTAACTGATATCAATTTTTATGAATTATGATTGTTAGGTGAATGATACTTACAGAGACGGCTCTTAGAGAATGCACAACCTGCCAATTCATCTCATCAAAGAGCTTATCAGTTACCTGTAATAGAAACATGATCAATACAAATTGAATTGAATCAAATTAAATTTAAATTTATTACTATAATCATCACAATATATACAAAGATAAAAGATGGAATATCATAAGCAAATAATTACTGTTGGTGAAGGTGATGGGACAAACTATCACTTCCGAGGCGATCTGGATGTAGCTATCTTTCCAAAGCAAAGCTGAGGAATGATGGTATAGTCATACAGATCGCTGAGGAAGTGATAGTTTGCCATCGCCCGAAACCAAAAGGTGATCACTTTTTCCATCATTTCAGAGCAACAAGTCATCAACTAACAGCTAGCAAACAGTGCATGTAGTTTGTGGAACTGGTGTGACTGTAGTTCGTGCATGACCAAAGTTTGCATACTAACACTAAAAGCGCTTAAAGAGAGAGAAATATGCAACGTATACAATTAAAGTGCATTGCACTGTGTAGATACTATTACTATCTACTGAGTGCAACGCACTTTCAATGAAGATAGTAGTACCATCTACACAGTGTAACAAACCTTTCTTCTCCCATCAATGATGGGCGAACTATCTTTCATCACATGATGTACTTTTCACCAAACATAGAGCAAGATTCTTAGTATGTGGAATATAATATAACAATATTAAAATTTTACCTAAACTGAGTTTAGCTTTGTTTAACTCAAGGAAGAAAATTCTTGTTATTTGTTCCTTTGCAGGGGGGGGGGTTACATCTTACCTCTTTTCCCCGGGTGCCTTCCAGATGTAGTCTCAGGTTCTGAACTGTCCATTTACCACCGTGGTGAGAATTATACTCATCCTGTAAAGACAATAATCATGGTCCAATTCATGTATAACAATGATCCTGCAAGAAAACATTTCAAACAGTTTAGTTCATGTATTACATTATTCATTATTGTGGTACGTGTGTAAAAGCAAATAATTTTTGACAGGAAAAGGAATTTTTTCTAAATAATAAAGAGAGAGATAATTATAGCGTATTCAAATAGAGAATTCAGCTGGCAAAAAGTAAATACCACAATTTTTATATAGATACACTGCAATTCCCGTGCAACAAAACTGAATAATTATGTATAAATTTCAACCTTTATTCTATTATATATTGTACTGTATGGTTTATATACCGGTATGTCATTTTAATTTGTGGATATTCAAGTGGAAAAATAAATAAAATCAAAAATCAAAAGAAATTCAATGTTTATCTATTCAATGAATTACACTCACCCCGTGTTTCTGTATGGACACATTGGTTAGATGTATGAACATGTTATCCAGCTCATTCACATTGGCGTTGTATTTCACAGTACAGAAGCGACAGAATCCTTGCCTGTATCTGAAAAACAGACAAGACAAAAACCAAGAGTAAAACGTAAAGTCACAATAAAGTAGCTTTGCAAAATGCATTGCCACATAAAGATCAGTCCAGGGGGGGGGGGGGGGTGTTTCACAAAGATTAAACATTATGGATAGCCATTTGTAGCCTTAAAATAGAATATATTCAAGAGCAAAAATTAAAGTATTTTAGACTTTTTATAAATTCTGCATCAAGAACATGAAATTTCCTCAATAATAGAAAATATGAATGATTTGAATCAACATTTTATTCCTTTTAAAATTATTTTAAAATAATTTCATAGATGCCAACGGCTTTCCATAATTGTTAAGTCTAACTTAGAGACAAGTTCAACTTAGGATCTTTGTGAAACACTCCCCAGGGCCCCATTTTACAGACCTTGTCATCAGTGACAAATGGCAGTCTTTGTTTATAAGCTAGTGAAATCCGTGCTTCTGATTGGTTATCAGCAGATTGTAACCAATTTGTCACTGATTTTTGTCTTTTGTCATTGAAAAAAGGCTTTGTGAAACGGGTCACAGAATGGGAAAGGCATAATTGTTAATGATACTGATAAATAACTAGATGGAATTTTGACTGCGCACAGTCGAAAATGATGCCTCCGCCATAGAGCAATTTAAACAAGTTTGGAGTTTAAATCTCCAGTGGTTCTTGAGATATCATGATAACAATCTCAATGTATGGAATTTCATAAGTTGACCTCTGTGACCCTTGACCTTTGACCTACGTGCTCCAAAATCTAATCAGATTGTCTTCCTATGGTGATACACACTATCATTAAGTTTGAAGTTTAAATCTCCAGTGGTTCTTGAGATATTATGATATGGTGATACATACTATCATTAAGTTTGAAGTGAAAATTCTCCAGTGGTTCTTGAGATATCGCGATAACGATCTCAATGTATGGAATTTCATAAGTTGACCTCTGTGACCCTTGACCTTTGACCTACGTGCTCCAAAATCTAATCAGATTGTCTTCCTATAGTGATACACACAATCACTAAGTTTGAAGTTTAAATCTCCAGTGGTTCTTGAGATATCATGATAACAATCTCAATGTATGGAATTTCATAAGTTGACCTCTGTGACCCTTGACCTTTGACATACGTGCTCCAAAATCTAATCAGATCGTCTTCCTATGGTGATACATACTATCCTTAAGTTTGAAGTTTAAATCTCAAATGGTTCTTGAGATATCGCGCTAACAAACTCAATACAAGGAATTTCATAAGTTGACCTCTGTGACCTGTGACCTTTGACCTACGTACTCCAAAATCTAATCAGATCGTCTTCCTATGGTGATAAATACTATTCCCGAGTCTTAAGTTTAAATCTTAAATGGTTCTTGAGATATTGTGATAACGGTCAAACGAGACGGACGTACGGACGGACAACCCGAAAACATGATGCCTCCGGCACCACCTTCGGTGGCGGAGGCATAAAAAGTGTAATATATGACAAAAATTTATATACATATAATGTATATACATATAATGGCCCGTATTCTGAAGTCGTGTCTAACTCCTGTTTAACTAAACAGTTGTCTAAGTCCTGTCTAACTTTAGACACGAAGTCGTGTCTAACTTTTTTGGTATTCTGAAGTCGTGTTTAAATAAAGTTAAACAATAAGTCCTGTCTAAGTCCTGTTTAACTTTAGACAACTGTGAGGGGTTGTTTAAGTCCTGTTTAAGGGCGCGATTCTGCTGCTTTTCAACGTCGACGGTACACTCTACTTGCTGACCCCGAACTTGCGGGGGAGAACGATGGTACGTGCATTCTCTAAAATTTCAAATACGTTTTGCAGGATTTTTTCTCGTGTAGTCTAATTTTTTTTCTCGATAATATTAACTATTCTTATCTACTGGTGACATCTTGGAAATTCCATAATCTATAATAAACTAACCATTCTGTTGGAGAAGTGTCTTTTCCGGTTCTTCCGAGCACTGAGGCACTGATAAGTAGTGTGTTTGTCAATCTCAGTGTACAGTACGTGTACTACGTACGTACGTACATACACAAAGTATATGCAGTCTAGTCATTACGTCACGATCACATCACCATGGTACCAGCACGCACACAACTAGCTGTGCGCGTTAATTTATTTATCCGGTGCGCGCACGCATGCGCATTGGGTCTTTCGTCAGAATTAACGCCTACTGGGCATGCGCAGAAGTCGTGACTAAGAGTTAAACACGACTTGCGCAGAACTTAAACAGTTGTTTAGTTAAACACCACTTAGACAGGACTTAAACAGTTGTTTAGTTAGACGAGACTTAGACACGACTTCAGAATACGAAATTTAGTTAGACAGGACTTAGACACGACCTCGCGTCTAAGTCCTGTCTAAGTCGTGTCTAACTAAACAGTTGTTTAACTTTAGACGTGGCTAAGTTAGACACGACTTCAGAATACGGGCCTTTATGTTCATGTCATTCAAATTAATTTATTTGTATGGAATAGCATGTTTTAATCCAATGTGTTGTACTAATATTTTTTATACGAAGAGGGAATTTAATTAAATACAGTGAATTTCTTGATTGAATGAACACGTGGTACAGAACATTCTGTTACATTTCTTTCCCCCTTTCCTCTTCACACCAATTCCTTCTATACTTACAGATAGCACTTGAGAGGTCTGTACGATGTGACGAGGACGTAGATACGCAGATCAAACTTCTTTCCTCCGATCAGTAATGGGTTATCAATATACTTGGAGATTACGTAAGCATCCTTAGCAGATGGTGCTTGGAACCTGTCAATGAAATGAGGAATCTTATTTTATCTCTCTCTCTAAGTGCCATATCGTTTGACTTTGGCGATCATGCTGTTCCACAACCCTCGGCTCCTAGCCTTCTGTATTAGTACCACTCCCAGTTCTTTTACTCCTCTCTCTTCCAACAATTTCTGCAGACTGTCCACCTAAAGTATCCTCCTTCTTCCCCTACTCCTTCTTCATTCTCTAGGCCTTTTTTATGTGTAATGTGAATCATGAACTTCAACTGCCTAATCAGCATCTCACATATCATTTTCCTTTGTACTCCAGCTCGTGTAAGAACTCCCTCATTACCAACTTTGTCAGTCCAGGGGATTTTCATCATTCTTCTTAAAAACCACATTTCACAACTTTCCAAACGCTTTTTAGTATCAGACGCTAAAGTCCATGTTTTACTACCACACGTAAGTACTGGGTAGGTGGTTTTATTTTATATGGTGCGTATAAAGATAAGGTTACCCAACTTAGGTAGCTTCTAATTAAAGAGTTATAACCGTGCGAGCTTGAATCATATTTCATGGCGAAGCCTAGATACAAAGCATCATTTTAAACAACAAAACACTGAAGCACAAGGCATAATTTAACTTTTAAAAGGATTTAAGACCATGCAAAGAAGCATGGCCTGACCGACATTTGTTTCATTGGCTCAAACTTGGTGGGGGAAATGTTAATTATGAATCTACCCTATTGAGTCACTATGAATATGACGTACAAAGAAAGCGGACTAAATATACAGTTCCTCAGGTAGACAAAGGAACATCCCTTCACTGCTATTATGTAAAAATGTGTAGAACAGGCATATTCACCTGTTCTACACATTTTTACATAATAGCAGTGAAGGGATGTTCCTTTGTCTACCTGAGGAACTATATATTTCGTCCGCTTTCTTTGTCCGTCCTTTTCATAGTGAGTAGAGCTAACACTCACGATGAAGTCTTGCTGTCTCTTGACCATTTCTTAATCTGAGAGAGTTTGTTGATCAGGAAGATTCCAATTCCCCTTGCTGAATAAAGAAAAAAAAATGAAGAGGATGAAAACAATTCAAGTGTATCATGAAACAAAATGTAAGAATAAAAATGAAAGAAACATTGGTTATTTTAAAATTGTGACGCACATTGATATGAACTATAGAAGCCTAGATTATAATTATTATTATCATTATTAGATGAATTTTCAATATCCTTGCATAAAGAGATGTCAGGCCTATGATAAAAAGAAAGAGGAGAGGATAAGAACTTTTCAAAAAGTGTTCAATAGAACAAATATAGATTGTACAGTAGGCTTGCGGGTGCACCATGTGAGAGAGAGGGAGAATTGAGGAGTCCTGAAAAGGACTCTCGGTAATCTTTCTTGAGGGTGTGTAGTCCTGAAAAGGACTGTTGGTGTAGTCTTGAAACAGATTGTTGGTTATTTTTCTTAGCTTACATGGTGCACACGCAAGCCTACTGTATCTACATCGCCATGCAAGCCGATACTTACAAGCAGCATCTAGATAGATTGGTAAAAGTAAACGCTCTATATACTTGTATAAAGGAGAGATAGAAGGCCTGAAATAATACTAGCCATTTTACTTTTCACATGAGTATCTTTTTGAAATGATACATAAAATTGAATAGCAGAGAGCTACAGCTGATTTTTATATGAATGTATATTGTTCTCTGTTTATCAATATTCACTGTTCAGAATGACTACAGGATGATTATTCCTTCTTTTAGGAAAGTAGGAAAGTATCTTGGTACTTTTCTAAAGAGAAATGCCAACCACTATTATCAGATCTAAACTCTTCAAACTCTTTTAATAAACACTTATTCCAATACCGGTATTCATCCTTCTCTTTTATTTTCTTAATTTCACATTAAACACAGAACCCCCCTTCCCCTCCACACCCATTTCAGAGTTCCAATTGAATTTTTATCCCATGTTTATCTATGTGAGCACAGAGTAGAGCAAATTCACTTCAAATTTACAACTACAACCATACTACCACCTTATGGGATACTATATCATAACCATTTAGTCAGAAAATATGTACCCCCCTCCAAAAAAGAAAGAAAGAAAGAAGAAATTAAGCAATATAGAACACATTAGCAAGATGTACACAAAGAAATAGAGGGAAGGAGGGAAGGAGAGAGGGAGATATAGGGAGAGAGGGAGGGAGATACGGAGAGAGAGAGAGAGAGAGAGAGAGAGAGAGAGGGGGGGGGGGCAGGGAGGAGAGACATTTTTTTGCATCACAGTTACATTGTATTACCTTTTCCTGTAGGCTTCATGATCCAGGTACTTGAAGGATTTTTCCTGAACTCTTCAACAAACAGGTTGTAGTCTGCTGGCAGCAAGAAAGTGACTGGGATGAAGTCTAAAACAAATTCAAAATGTACACATCAGAATCATGCTAACAACTCTCTACAAGACATAGGTAGTGTTACAGTAGACTTGCTGATGCACCATGTGAGAGAGAGAGAGGGAGGATTGAGGAGTCCTGAAAAGGACTCTCGGTAATCTTTCTTGAGGGTGTGTAGTCCTGAAAAGGACTGTTGGTGTAGTCTTGAAAAAGACTGTTGGTTATCTTTCTTAGCTTATAGTTCTAAGGAGAACTATAGCGCTTGGAGAGGATGGGTGGCAGGAGTGGCTCGACATTTCGAACAGGTTGACTATCCGTCGTCAGCCTACTGTACATCAACATCACCATGCAAGCCGATAATTACAAGCAGCATATACATGTAGGTAGTGATTATACACAATTTAAAAAATAATTCTGTTTAAATAGCAAAACTGTATCATGTACACATTTTAGAGAAGTGTGGGTATCTTGATAAAACAGGATAAGCTATCAAAAGATGACAAAGAACTGTTTTGTCTTTATTTCTATATAATTCTATTCAGGTGGTTATCTCATCAAATCAGATCTCAATTATTAAACATAAGAAAAAGGGGATCATGGGTGACCAATGGGTACCGCTTAGGCATTGTTTGCTATATAGAAGGCGCAAGTAGCTACAGGTACTGCAGTCCCGCTTTAAGAGCAGTACAGTACAGTGCAGTACAGTATAGCCGCGTTATATACATACACTGTACATGTAATTATTGTTATTATTATTTATAACTATTATCATTATTATTATCATTTTTATTATTATTGTTATTATTACTATTATCATTATCGCCGTCGTCGTCGTCATCGTCATCATCATCATCATCATCACCACCACCACCACCACCACCCACCACCATCATCATCACCATCATCTTCTTCATCATCATCATCATCATCATCATCATCACCACCATCACCATCATCATCATCATCATCATCACCATCTTCTTCATCATCATCATCATCATCATCATCATCACCATCTTCTTCATCATCATCATCATCATCATCATCATCATCACCACCACCATCATCATCATCATCATCATCATCATCACCACCACCATCATCATCATCATCATTATTTGTATCAGTATTTACCTAGATGCATGTATTTGCCCTGTTCATCCTTCTCCGCTAGAGGGCTCCCTTCCTTCTCTAGATCCTTGCGATAACGTTTGATGTTCTTCACCATCAGGTCCTTGCGTGTCAGTTCATAGTGGTTTGGAAAATGGTTTAAAACTCTGGTAAAAAAAGAAAGGAGTGTGTAAAGATAATAATAATAATATTTACCTTTTATAACGTGCTTAATACAAATGTCTCTAAGTGTTTACAAATATACTATTACCCCAGTCATTGGATTCAGTGCTTGTTCGCACACACTGTGTGCACGATCTCCACTCCCCGGGGACCATTCCAGCCAGGCGTTACTTGACGCTCAAAAACTGTTTGACCAACAATGACGGTCGCATCCTACCGGGTACCCATCTGGGTGGAGAGTAGCAAGTGCAGGTTAATATCTTGCCAAAGGATATTAGTGCCGTGTCGGGATTCGAACCCTCGACCTTCGCATCTCCAGTCAAGCGCCTTAAACCACTCGACCACAACACTCCCTTGTAATGAAATACAAACCTCAAAAATGTTTTCTAAAGACTAACGGTAACAGATAAGGCAACATTTAAAAAGCATTGAGGCTTCTTGCTTTAAAAAAAAAAAATTGTAATGAAGAAACATGTAAAACATACTGTTAGAAAAGCCTAAAATAAAAAATTTCTGAAAAAATTAAAATAAAATAAAAAAAGATATAGATAACATAACCACATAATTTGACATAAAACGGAAGACACAATATAATTATATATATAGTTTTCAGAAAGAAAAATACTTTTCTTGATAGTTTTCATTTGATAAACAAGTCGAGCAACCATCAAAACTTATGTGAATACATGCTTCCTTTTTGAGGATTACTTGGTCACTGTTGGTGGAACAATTACTTTAAGCAGTCAAAAGAAATGCTATACTTATGATAGGTCTAGAACCTGCACACCCCAATCAGGCCGAGTATACGGCATCTGCAAGTATCTTCATTATTGAAGGAGGCAGATTATCTTGAAGAAGGGAGAAGGAACTTCTAAATTCTTCCAACTTGCCACTGGCATGATTTCAAGATTGTCAAACGTTTCAACACAAGACTTAGGCAGTATAGTTTCTCAATAAGGAGTGTAAATAATTGGAATGCCCTGCCTAAGGAAGTAGTCAATGCTGCCACCATTAACCAATTCAAGTCATCCCTAGAAAGGTATTGGAGAAACAATCCAATTGAGTTTGAACCATACTTGAGACGGGATGCAACAGTAAAGAGGGACAAATAAGCTAAGCTTCCAGTCTCTACACCCAAGTATACCCAAGTATAAGTAGACCCTATAACCAGAATCGCAAAATCTGGCTCTAAACTGACAATGCATTTAATAAAGTCATTTCTGCATGTCGGGTCCCCTCTCCATTCAGAGTTTAGTATGACATAAAACTTCATTAGATCTAGCCTACAATTACAAATTAGTCTACTTACTGATCATCTTGCATGCGATAGCCACTGTCTACATTGAAGATATTTCTGGTTGTCCCAACAGTGCTCCTGAAACAAGGAAAAATAAGGGGAAAAAGGATGAAACACTGATTGACTTAGTTTATAAATTAGTTAGTTTATAAAAGTATGTCGATCTAAGAGACTGTCTTAGACTTGACTTGCCTCGCCTAAGTTGCAATCAGCATTCAAGATTTTGATTAGACGAGATTCTAGATCTAGATCTAGACCTAGACTTCTAGATCCTAGACTCTAGATCTACCTTTTTTAGTTTTTAGAAATTTTATCAGATTTTGGCCAGATACATCATACAACCTAGATCTATATCTAACTTCGAAGGCCTGTGTATGATGAGTGAAGTCAAGTCTAGATCTAGTCCTAGAGACCGTTTTTTAGATTTCGAGTTATTTTAGCTGAAGTAAAATATGCGAAGCACTCGATTCAGCGGGTACAGAGGGATTTCTTCGCCAGCACTTCGGGCGTGCAGCGCGGCGTACGATCACCTTTGCCTCTGGTCGACCGCGTTCAACGTAACATTAAAAATAAGTGACCAGAACCACCCGCTTAAAAGCTCATCTAGATCTAATTCATGAATGAAACAAAGTCTCACCAATAAAAATTCCAGTCATCATCTCCTCCTACTTGAATCCATCCTCGCTTGTCAAAATTCCCTACAAGAACAGTTTTATCCAGATCTGTAGCGTAACGGATTTTGGCTGCCATTTTCGCGTACCGTTGATAAGCGACGAAAATGATGAAAATTAGTCTTGCATCTAAGCTTCATTAATTCTAATATGGATATTGACTGTTTTAAGATTAGGGTGGTGCAGGCGCGTAGCCAGGGGGGGGCGGTGGGGGCGGTCGCCCCCCCCCCCCCAAAACGCCGGCCAAAAAAAAAAGAGAGAGAGAAAGAGAAGAAAAAAAAGAAAGAGGACGTAGGAAGAAAAAGGGAAAAGGAGTCGAGAACGGTACAATGAATCTTCGAAGCTTCCGCGCTTCGCGCGGGAAGGGGGAAACTGAGTTCAAATTAAGAAATATGAGTCGGGAAAGGTACAACGAATCGTCTTCTTTCTCTAATAATTTAATGAAACGTCAGAGCTTCGCGCGAGAGAGGGGGGGGGGGGAACAGAATTCAGACAAGGATTAAGAGTCGAGAAAGGTACAACGAATCGTCTTCTTTCTCTAATAATTTAATGAAACGTCAAAGCTTCGCGTGAGAGAGGGGAGGGACTGAATACAGATAAGGATTAAGAGTCGAGAGAGGTACAACAAATCGTCTTCTTTCTCTAATAATTTAATGAAACGTCAAAGCTTCGCGCGAGAGAGGGGAGGGACTGAATTTAGACAAGGATTATGAGTCGAGAAAGGTACAATGAATCGTCTTCTTTCAAAGCTCCCGCGCTTCGCGCTTCGCGCGGGAGGGGGGAAACTCCCCCCTCCCTGCACCCACCCCCCTAGGGAGCGCGCTTCGCGCGCTTTTTAAGTGATTCGCACGCTTCGCGTGCTCACTACCGCCCCCCCTAAAATGAAATCCTGGCTACGCGCTTGGGGTGGTGGGGGCATTTACAGTAAGTATACGTAGATGGCAATAGCCACTGATGTTAAAAATTTATCTTGAGATACCAAGTCATCCTTTAGATACAAAATATCTACCTTCTAATCAGTCAAAACAAATTATTACCTCCTCATTTTCATTAAAACGTTATAAAATATAGACTAGAAACCCCAAATGACTCCACTCCCCCCCCCCCCCCCCCCCCACTCGGTTTACTAGGGTACGCATAATTATGCTTGTTCCCTCTTTTTGAAGGCACCCCCTATTTTGATGACTGCCAACATTTCCGAACCCCCCCCCCCCCCTTTAGCGGGCTCTTGCGGGCTTTTCCTGCCTTGGAGACCCCCTTAAATCATGAAAAATGCTCTATGTACCCCTCTAAATTCGGAATAATTTCTCAGGAGTCCAAAGAGATGAGAGAGAGAGAGAAAAAAAAAAAAAAAAATACCCCCTTTTTAAAGAAATCTCCGGGTGAAAAGTTAATACACCCCTTTTTTTTTTACAATTTTCGGGCCGGACTTTGTCGCACAAAAAGTACCCCTTTACTGGACATTGTGGTAATAGACCAGTTCACGGTTAGCACATTACTGCAATGACCCACAAATATCCACAGATCTTCAAAACATGAAGAGGTCCCACTTTGTACATTTTGAAATAATCACTCCTACAGCGATGGAGGGGCTATATAAATAGCATTTGTTTCCTCTTTTCAAAGAATACTTCCACCTGTGTATCATGAAGTGCACTGAATGTGCATGAATGCATAATGTTACATAACTTTCATGAGCACGTATCCAGAATATCGCCTCCGTGTATTTCAAAATTTGTTCTGCAATGACCTTTATCTGCTCATGCTCAGACTGCAACCGTGAACTCGCTTATACACGCATGAGGTCCGTCCGTTCTCGGAGTGGGGGGGGGGGGGGGGGGGCGGGCGGGCTCCACTCAAGCTACCAGCAACCTCCTCCTAGCTACTATACCCCATCTACTCCGGCCCCCCCCCTCTTCTTCCTCCTCCGCCTCCTCCACATTTTTCTCTGAATAAACATAAATTTATCAAATAATAATGATAGTAATATGATATCAATAATTGTAGGCGATACCGATTTGTTTTTTCCCTTTCCTCCTATGTTCACCTGATATGGCTTAGGATAAAAACAACACTTAATAATAATAATAAATTACATTTGTATAGCGCTTAATACAAAGTTTCTAAGCGCTTAACAAAAAATTAAATTAAAGTAATGTTAACCTACAAATTACAAGAATATAATACATGATACATAATACAAATTCCTAATAACAATCATACAATAATAATAGTTTATATTTACATAACGCTTTATAGTTAAACAAACAAAATATGATTACATTACATTACATATTAAACAGATAAGTCTTAAGTTTACTTTTGAATGTCTCTAAGGTTGGGGACTCGCGTATTTCATGGGGAAGATTGTTCCAAAGTTGGGGGGCACAGACAGAAAAGGCACGATTTCCATAGCGGGTGTGGGTGCGAGGGCCTGGGGCAAGATGAAGATGTGCTGTGGATGATGATCTGAGACGCATAGATGAAGTACGCGTTATATAGTAGGCCTAGTTGTAGGTGCCCCTTTTTTTCTCTCCAGAAAGTGCCCTTTTGGGGGGTGCCCCCTAGGCCTACTTTAGAAGATGCTCCACCTCCCATGCATTATGCTACTTGGTGATGATGCGGATTTTGGGGCCACGGTATTATTAGTTTAATCGATTTCCATAGTGGGGTATAGAATTTGGTTTATTAGGCCTACTAGCCTTTGTTACAAACTATTTGTTCAGATCAAATATCTATTTAAAAAAATCAAATAGTGCGATACGAGCTGAAAAGTGAACAATATATAATTTAAGATGACCATACGGAGAGTATGGTCTAAATATTATACTTATAATTACATAGATGTCCACAGAATACGATAAGATGTAATGGCAATTCACTCTTAATAATTGTACTACTGTTTTTGCTCTCATTCTGCGAGAAATGTCTGTGCATTTTCAAAGAGTTGAGTTTTGTTAGCATGCATTCTTGTATCCTGTTTTTGTAGGCCTACCTCTTTGACCCGCTCATCGTTTCTTACTATTTCAGAAACAAGATATTATTTTTTTTCTGATTATGATATACAGTGTATTGTTTTAACCTCCGTGTACGTATTTAACAACATGTCTATTACATTTCAGGATGAGACATTATGTTGTATAGGAAATTGATATATTCTGGATCACTTAATTTCAAACAATATTTTTTGTTTAAAAACAAAATAAAAATAATTCAAACATCATAATATTCTTACAAAATGAAGCAGGTTTAGACAGATCAAACAATGACATGCTTGTGACTGTTTGTGCGTTGCCAACAATCATGTTAGGAGAATCACTATTTTCTTTTCGAGATAATCTCCTAATTTTGGGGGCTTGTTGAGAAAGACGATTAAAAAAAAAATAAATCATCACGTGTACAGTTGCTGATAAACTACTACCAGGAAAGAAATAACAAAGCGCACACTTGTAATCCTGTAGAAACCATTCAGCATTCTGTGCCATTTTATTATAGAGCAGAAATATTGACATGTGTATGATAATAAATTAATGGAGGGTGTTATGTAATGAGTTGAGTCTGTTCTATATTTTTGTTCCGGGGGAAATTGTGACAATGAAAATACACTCAAAAACTATATCTATATGGACGGCGCGAAAGGAATGTTGATTACCTCACACCCGGGTGGGTTAATTAGACCAAAATGTATGATGAGTGTACACACAAGGTCAGGACGGGTATTGTGATATAGACAGGGCCTTATGGAAGACCAGTTTTAATCTGAAAGAGATACCCTGAATAAATATGTGAAATAAATAAATAAATAATTAAATAAATATACGATTATACGGGGCCAATTAACGGCTAATGGAAAGGCGTGATGTTTTTTTAAATTGTAAATCACTTATATGTTTTAATGAGAACAAAATGAAAAAATACCTAATACTAATTCGGGGACAGTTCTTGACAGAAACAGGAATCTCCGGAAAGGGGGGGGGGCGTACAATTAAGAATCAAATTGTAGAAAATATACGACAAGCATCTGTCATAAATATTTTTTTTTAAAGAAAAGAACATAAAGAAAAAAAGAAAGATAAACAAAGGTGGGGGGGGGGAGGGGGGGGGGGGGGGGTCATGCATGTGTCCACTGTGTAGGTCTTTTCCCTGGATCTGCGGGGAGTGGTTTGCCTTGATGAGCCTCACCTCTACGGTTTCGCTGTGATTGTTTAATGTGTAAGGCCTATATACTGAAATTTCGTCCACTTAGGCGGACTGGTCCGTATGACGCGACGGTATTCGTGGAAAATCGAGTCGACAACTTCAGTTTCCGGTGTCACAAATCTTTGTTTGGTCAGGTATGTATTTTTCTTTTTATTGCACTAATTTATTAAGAATCTATAACATTTGATAACTCATTATTTCAAGTGAACCCCTGTCTGCTTATATGATTGTAATTAATGCAAATCCATGTTCGTTAAATCGCATCGAGCTTGAATAGAAGTTATGTCGTAAAATATCGTCTGTCCCATACGCTAAAATTGGCGTATGGTCAACTCTGATGAAGTTGAGTGCGCTTGCCATGTAGACATTGGTGGTGTGACCAAAGTTCGCGCGTGACCTAAGTTCGCTATCTCAAAGAAATCAGTAAGATTTCGAAAATCTGATATCACCAATGGAAAGAGGAACATAAAATTACCCAGAAATGAAATTTTCTTTGGAATTGGGTACGAAATTGTGAAAATATTGCCAAATTTTGCAATCTTTTAATTTGTTTGCGTCCGTTCTGAAAAATTATCAACTTACCAATATTGCGATCAGGGTGTGGAAATCTTCATTTTGAGAGCAGATATCCTCAAAATTGTAAGTAATTAGTGGTACCGACTGGTTGTATGATATTTTGCCTTGCAAATTATACCTTATTATTGATAGATCATAATTTTTTATAAAGCAGCTGTAAACCCCCGTGCATGAACTTAGGTCTCGTTGTTTTTATGACTTTCTTAGATGCAGCGCGCACACACGATCGGACATCAAATTTTTAGATCGCAATATCTTCGAAATCCTTTGACGATAAGATTAAGATTCTGCCTAACTGAATTCAGCTTCCAGAAGTTACCAGAGCATCCTAAAATACTCTAAAACTGAGAGTCGACGCTTATGGCGTGCGTATTGACCTCGAGTCTAGCGTTGTATACAAGTACTGTAGCCTACATCAAACTAATCAAAGATTCCATTTTTTGAACTTTTGTACCATTTGGATACTCTACTAATACAACTTAACGTGGACTATCAAATCATTAGGTTGAATATACCATAATGGTACATGATTCTCTTAGTAAAGTGGAAAGAAATGTCAAAAAAACTTACTTTTAAAAATAAAGCCCTTTTTCTCTCCCCTTTACCAGAGTCTTCGCACGTACTCAGTAGGGGCGCTGGTCCGAGAATAAGGATCGTCTTCGTAAATGCGGACAGACGTGTCCTCAAAATTAAGGATCCTCCACATTTTTGCAGACGTTTCATATTTCCGATCTGCTCGTCGGCGATGCGAAAAATGGATTTTGCGATGATTTTCTTGATGCATTTTTTATTGACTGTCTACAGTTATAAGTGATAAGTCCTCGGGAAGACAGACAAACCATACAAGTAGATGGTAAACTGGGGTTATTTTCTTATGCGAAATCTGTTTTTTGCATCGACAGAGTGCGGTTCAGGAACCCAAAACCCGCAGAGCGCAGATTAAAAAAACGTTCGCAAAAATGCAGAAGATACTTTTTTGTAGGAAGCAATTTGTCCGCGTTTACGAGGGTATCCTTGTTTATGCGGACGATCCTCATTCTCCGACCAGTGCCCCCACTGATATGTGGGCTCAGCGATAGCGCTTCGGTGGCAATATGCTATTTTAGATTTTAGATAATTCAGATGAACACTATTTATTGCCTGGAATAAAGACTCTGCTTGGAAACAGGGGTTCCCTTGAAAAAATGGAAACAAATCTAATTTTTATGTGTTTCTGTCCACAGAGTTGGGAATGTGCAATTGACTTGTCAAGATAATCTAAGATGGAACAGACCAGATATAACCTCCGAAGGAAGTCCAGAGAAGGTCCTAAGGTGGACCAAAGAGTGGACCAAAGGCCACCAACAAAAGAACAAAATGGTAAGAAATTTGTCCAACCAATAGAATCATCAAAGTTTATCTCAATTTGCTTTGAAGAGTTTACAGAACTTCCCTCATCATAAATCTGTTTCAGGTACCCGGTAGTGGTCCTATTCAACATTATGACAAGTCTTAAAAAAGTTGATTTTGTTATTGTTTAAATGTAATTCCTCAGTCGCACCTTTGTCGCTAGAAAAGACTTTTTAATTTTTAAAAGTTGATTTTGTTATTGTTTAAATGTAATGCCTCAGTCACACCTTTGTCGCTAGAAAAGACTTTTTAATTTAGGGTTGATTCTTAAAGGGGAGATTCTCAGCCTTAAAATGTTATATTACCCTTCAGAATTGTATGTCCCTAACTCAGATTGTTACTTAAGAGAAAATATGTTCAAAGTCTCTGACTCCTTAGGTCTGTGGCAGGGTGACAAAAGGAGGATTAAAACTCTATAGAAATTTCTGTGAAGGGAACTGTAATGATCAGATTGTTCTTAAACTTGACACACTAAATAAGCACATCGTGTTCTTTATTTCTCTGAGGAATCGATGTAATAGCTTACTCTGTTTTAAAGTTATTTGAAGATAAAACTGAGACCAGGGGGGCGTTTCACAGAACTTGTCATCAGTGACCAATGACAGTTTTTGTTATAAGCTACTGAAATCCTTGCTTCTGATTGGTTATCAGCAGATTTGTCACTGATTTTTGTAATTTGTCATTGGAAAAAGGCTTTCTGAAATGGGTCCCAGTAGCAAGGTCGTATTAAATGAAATAAAAACTACTACAACAAACTCAAATCAGGGAAACGTAGGTCTACAAAAGTGGTGTGTGTCATGTGATTGCTTCATAGCCAATAGGATGCTCTCTACCAATACCGGGCCTATTTCATGTATTTATATGTTCAGAAGTTAATCCGTTGACTAGTGAATCCATTCATTGCCATAGGGTGCATACAGGGGCCACCCGGCTCCAGTAGGCAATGACTTAAAGGAAACCAAAACCTTCATACTAAGTAACTTTTATTGTAAAGTTTAAGATAATTGAAAAATATCAGTGAAAACAAAATCGGGCAAGGAATAAGGAAGTAAGAGCTTTTTAAAATTACTAGTCACTAGAGGGCGGTATTCAATTTGATGACATCATCTGTGAACAACTCTCTATGCCTTTTGTACATCAAATTTCATGTTTTTCCTTCTTTCTTGTGATTGAGATAATGTACTCCCCTGAAAGCAAGATATAGAATGCAAAATGATATTCTACTTCACATGTTATGAAGTCGGATCAAGAACACAAATAAATACGAAGAAAACAACAAAATTGTGAAATTTTATGTACAAAAGGCATGGAGAGTTGTTCACAGATGATGTCATCAAATTGAATACCGCCCTCTAGTGACTAGTAATTTCAAAAAGCTCTTACTTCCTTATTCCTTGCCCGATTTTGTTCAAATTTTCACTGATTTTATTCAAATCTTTTAAACTTTACAATAAAAGTAACTTAGTATGAAGGTTTTGGTTTCCTTTAGAGGGAAAGACCAGTATTGGAAACGCCCCAATTTAAAAAATAATGAAATGAAAGCTCTTATTATCAATCATGTGAAAGAATGTGTTTTGAATATTACATTATGATAAAAAATTTGACGGGAAACCGCCTACTAATTGATATATTTGGTAAATTAGTGTACCTCTCGCCTGTTGAGAGATATGAAATGCACGTGTCGCGCACGTGTGTGTAGTCCCATATACATCTTTCTGTGTACAGTGCTTCTAACTTGATGAAGAATTGGCCAAATTTCTTATCATTTTGATGATTCCGGAACCTTGCAGTACATCTATGCTAGATGATCAACCTCTTCTGATCGATTTCACAACCTTTCTTTCACAATGCAATCGCATGACCATAACTGGTCTTTAGCTTTAAAGGAATTTGCCTCAGATTCTAAACAAAATCCTGGATTTAGCTCATGCTGCAAATATAATCATAAACCTTTAGGTCAGTCAGGAATCCCATGACTTTTACAAGCCGATCGCCTGTCTGATTATCAAGATATTTATGACTGGAATTCGAAATTTCAAAAATCGTTTTCCCCTACGTTTTTAATAACACTACAGTCTATTGGGAGAAATGAGAATGGTAAAACTGGTCACTCAAAGATTTTTACTTTTTTGAGGCACTTCATGATCATTTTAAAGCATATAGTGCTTCAATATTACACCATATCTCAGACAGTTGATAAAAACACGTAGGGCCATGCATCCCAGATTTGTAAAACTGGAAACATTGTTAAACAATGCCTTTAAAGATAAAGACCAGTTATGGTCATGCGATTGCATTGTGAAAGAAACGTTGTGGAATCGATCAGAAAAGGTTGATCATCTAACATATAAGTATTGGTGTATCCTGCAAGGTTCTGGAATCATCAAAATAATAATAAATTTGGCCTAGTCTCGGTAAAGTTGCAAGCACTGTACACAGCAAGATATACATGGGACTACGCGACACGTACATGACACATGCATTATATATATCAGGTGCAAATATATATAATAATTTACCAAATATATCAATTAGTAGGCGGTTTCTCGTCAAAATTTGTATGATTACGTATTAGTCAAAACATATTCTTTCACATGATTGGTAATAAGAGCTTCCATTTCATTTGTTGAGAGGGGGGCGTTTCCAAAACTTGTTTTTACCTTTAAACTATTTATCATTGACTCTCCTACCATTTCTAGATGTCCAAAGGATAGCTGAAAGCACGGAAGCACCCAGCGTGAAGACTGTAGAATCTACCGAAGTCCAGACCTCTCGTCCGGCCCTCATTGTTCTTCTTATATTCCTTTCATCTGTCTGTATCATGGGCCTAGTCTACTGGAGCTTTCCAGAAATTGATGAGTGAGTCAAGACATTTGAATTGAATTGAATTGAGCTGAACAGAATTGAATTGAATTGAATTGAATTGAATTGAATTGAATTGAATTGAAATGAATTGAATAGAATTGAATTGAATAGAATTAAATTGAATTGAATATAATTGAATAGAATTGAATTGAATTGAAATGAATTGAATAGAATTGAATTGAGTTGAATAGAATTGAGTTGAATTGAATTGATATTAATGGAATTGAATTGAATAGAATAGAATTGAGTTGAAACAAATTAAATTGAATTTCACCACTTTCATAAAAGCATGCAAAGTCAAAGAATACAATTGAATATTTCTTACAACATAAAAGGGAAAAATACTAAAGGAAACTACGAAGTGGTTGGATCATCAAAGGGTTACAGAAACTTATAGGTACATGATCCTACACAAAATGCAAAAACTAACAGGAAAAAAAGGGACAAAGAAATATGGTAATACAATGGTACTTACACACATAAAAAGTGTGGTTGTCAAAGTCATTCATTGAAGGGCATTAGTTTCACATTAAATAAGCTTCATGTTTTTGGCAATGCTGATTTAAAGATAAAGTTGAGTTCTGATCATGCGATTGCATTGTGAAAGAAATGGTGTGGAATAGATCAGAAAAAGATGATCATGCAGCATAGAAGTATTGGTGTGTACTGCAAGGTTCTGGAGTCATCAACATGATTTTTGAGTTTTCTTTCATAGACTCATATATTGTTAAATGGCTATGCTCACTCGTACATGAATCATACTGAGTGAACATGCACTCGCTTTTTTTCTGCCTTATTTCAGAGATGACATGGAGCATATTAAACTGCCCAAGAATATGGATGACGCAAAAGTTCTAGGAAAGATATTATCCCGTTACAACGAACAGAACTCCATTGCTGTGACGGCAGCATTCTTCATTACATACATATTGTATCCTTTGCTGCTCTGAGATATGCGCCAGTGATACTTACCCTGGGGGGTGTTTCACAGAGACTAAGATCGACTGTAAGTTGGACTTAACTATGGCTGGCCGTTCATGGCACCGATTCCTCTCACCATTATGATCTTTAGATAATATCTTTTCCTTCTATAATGAATTACCAAAAAGGTAAATTCTGTAGATTTGTGACCATAATTTGTATGTCCCTTGAGAGACGAATGCTAGTAAATGGTGATAGGAAACAGTGGCATGAATGGCTTGCCATAGTTAAGTCCAACTTAAAGTTGATCTTTGGCTTACTTTGAATCATTGTGTCATCGCCGTCCTGTCGGGTGGTCGCTTTACCCGACCTTTTGTCAAAACATGCCCCTTTATTCATGAAATGTCGGAGGTAATGTTTGTGAAATAAACCCCTCTCTTCTACAAATGGTCTGGTCCAATTTACCAGAAACTTTGTGCAAACCCTACGACATACATGTATCTACTAAAGGTCTTGAGATCTTCCGTGTTCATTTCACAAAAGGTTGTGTAACGCGACCGACCCCGACCGGAGATGATGACCTGATGATTTAAAGTAAGCCCTAATCCTACTGGTGTGGTGGGCTATTCTGCAGTTCCCCTCAGATAGCTTAGGGAAATGTAGTGGCAAGAAAAATGGCATTAGGGGGGTGTTTCACAAAGATCCTAAGTTGAACTTATCTCTAAGTTGGACTTAAACATTATGGAATGCCGTTAGCATCATTGAAAATATTTTGTAAAAGTTATTTAAAAGACATTAAATGTTGAGTCAAAACATTCATATTTTCAATCATCAAGGAGATTTTAATGTTATTGACGTGGAATTTATGAAAAGTCTGAAATACTTGAATTTTCGCTTTTGAATATATTTTATTTTGAGGCTACAAATGGCTCTTCATAATTTGTAAGTCTAACTTAGAGATAAGTTCAACTTAGGATCTTTGTGAAACACCCCCCATGGAATGCAAAATGCCTTATTGTTTAAAATCAAAATTTTAACGCATGATGGTTAGGATATGGAGCTGGACAATGCATGTATCATCTCAATGAGGGTTTAATGGTAGCTGAACTTTCATTCAGACGTGTCAACAAAAACTTTAGAATAACAAACATCACCAACTATTATGAACTTTGTGTTCCGCATATGTTTTTTCGTCGCACTACATTTTGCTAACCTACCTAAGTTTGTCCAGGTGATAGTAAAAAGAAGGTGGATTATAAGCTGTTGGAATGGAAGAGGGGGGGGGGGGGGGGGAGGAGAGGATATACCCTGTTTCGATATGCGATATCCGAATATCCGGTATCCGTCGTAGTTCAATAAACAACATCATTCACAAAATAATCGAGAGAATACAGCATCGTCACAGTGTCTCGGTATGGTACACTGTGTGCTGTGCGGTGCTCGCACTATTAGAAGTTACAACGACGCGAAAATCGTCTTCTAAATTATAAATTATAAAATTCCCAACTGTCTTGGACTGGATCAAGATGTACTTTTAGCAATCAAAATTGATTTCAAATATCCCACCGCTGCCACCATGATGAGTTTGAGGGTCTTGGTAAGGGTAGATAACCCGGGATAATAGAGAGTCGGCAGGCTGGTTTGTTATGGTAGACATGTTATTTATTCAACTACCACGGATACCGGATATTTGGATATCGCATATCGTAACATACCCCAAATGAGAATTTACTTGTGGGGATGTAATTATCCTCGAATAAATACATTTGCCCTATCATTATTGAAGAGAGGGATTCTATCTATCGGTAGACTTGTATGATCAGTTATACCGTGCGTCCCCCAAAAAAGGATTTACCTCTCACAAATTGGAAGGCTAATTCCTGCGCAACCTGATTTTCATACCCTTTACAAAAGTGAGCAGTGCTCACCCAAGCATGAATTATTCTCAGACTTTTTGGTGTCATATGAAAGTTGAGTTTATGAGCTTTCCATACATATAAAACTTTTCCCCCAGAATCATATATTTTTTATTCGACAGCCATTTCAAAAGTGTATATTTTTTTGGGGGGACGCACGGTACAGATAAATAATGTTATTATTTCCTTGACACTTTTCATCCGCTCAGTTTACAAACCTTCGCTATACCAGGGTCCATATTCCTGAGTATACTATCAGGATTCTTATTCCCGTTTTTTGTAGCTCTCTTTTTAGTCTGTCTGGTGAGTATTTTCAATTTATGTATATTTTTTCGAACCCAGTCCTCTACTAGACACACCCGTTCAAAATGATTCCAGCTAGTCATTCCATGTGTTTCGAATTGTACTGTCAAACCTTCTCTAGCAACTACCTGTATAGAAAGACCACAATTTTGTTTATAAGTCAATCTGGACTACAATACTTGTATCTACTTTCGCCCTGTATATAACAAACAATGCCTAAGCAGTACCTGTTTGTCCCCCATGGTCCCTTTTTTATTACGTTAATTGAGAGCTGATTTGATGAGATAACCACCTGTCAGTGACCATGCAGGGATGTGTAATCCCTGCTGGCCAAACTAGTGCAGATAGGCTTTAAGATATTCAAGATATTCTATTTACCCATAACCATAAAGACATACAGACATTAATACAATATACAATGGCAAGGACCACAAGATGAGAAATGCTTGTAAGGAATGGCGTGAAAAAAACAGTATAAACAACAAAACAAATACAGTCAAACCTGCTTTAGTGACCACCTGTCTACAAAGGCAACACTTGTTGTTTCCCTTGAAAATGGTTTCTCATTGAATCATGTACTAAAGTAACCTGTCTACAAAGACCACCTGTTTACAAAGGCTTTAAAATTGGCATACCTCTGTATAGGTTTATTAAAAACTGAAATTTGAATTTTTTTCTTGTTCTTGTGTTCTTTTCCCCTTGCAGTGTTCTGCTATTGGTGCCAGTAACTGCTACTTGATATCCTATTTTGTCGGAGTTCAGTTAGTTCAGAAGTACATTCCTGAAAGGGTAGAAAAATGGTCAGCAACGGTAAGCTTCTTGGTTATCCTATTCTTCGTAGTTTATATTTAAAAGCATATTTAATTGCATGTCATATTTTCTTTTAGTTATGATAACTTTCTTGTTTTTTCTCCTTATTATTTTCATGGGTTGAGGCTGTTCAATAGAGTCACCTATCAACATACCTTCCTAATTTAATCACGATCATTTTTTGTTGTCGACAAACTAGACAATTTATGACGTCAAAATTAGTGTAGTTTTATACGCTTCTTAGTGATGTCGAACTCCCCTTGAAAACATGAATATTCAATGAAGGTAGTTGCATACTCATAAGAATTTCCATACTTTCACTATTCAAATTCTTCTTCCACTATGCATCAGTGTTAATGGACCCCCCCCCCCTCCCCCTTGACCATGGTTTGTGTTATTTGATTTGTCATTGTTTTATGATAATATTACAACTTTAATTTCATTGTAATATAGTAATGATAACATATCACAGAATATAAGGAGCCCTTAGTAATAGTGCCTTCCACATGCTTTTATGACATGTATTACCCCTACATCAATCTCATAATCCATCAATATTTGTTGTGTATATTATGCAATTGCAAACAATAGCCAGTTTAGGTATCAACAAATAATTATTTACAGCTGGGGAGCGTTTCACAAAACTTGTCATCAGTGAAAAATGACATTTTTTGTTATAAGCTACTGAAATCCTGGCTTCTGATTGGTTATCAGCAGATTTGTCACTGATTTTTGTCATTTGTCATTGAAAAATGCTTTGTGAAACGGGCCCCTGGTCACACCACTAGTCCCTGCAAGGAGAGCCCCAAGGAATTTTGCTGCTGCTCATATCTGTGTTGGTCAGTAGAGCGTCCGCCTCACAACCGGGAGGTCGTGGGTTCGAACCCCGGCCGCGTCATACCAAAAGACGTTAAAAGACGGGAGTTGCTGCTACTTTGTTTGGCGTTCAACAATAAGGGATAGAGCAACGTCAGTCTGGCGCTGCTCAGTGGCTGCCGGGCTCATGATCAATTGGGCAAAAAGAATTTCCGTTTTCGGTTTAACTTAATAAAATTTGGAGTGGACTTTAAAAGATTATTATTATTATTATTATTATTATGTGGAGTAGATATCTTCAGTCACAATAACCAATCCTCCTTTTATTCCGTAGGTTGCAAGGCATCGAGAACATCTTCTTAACTACATCATATTTTTGAGAATAACTCCATTCTTACCGAACTGGTTCATCAACATTACCTCACCTATATTAGAAGTCTCCCTGTGGCCCTTCTTCATCGGTACTTTCCTTGGTAAGTCCCGACTCCTTGTGAAAAGATACACTTGAAATTATTATGAAAAACTCTCGTTAAAACTATACCCCACCACTATAACACAGGAATCAATGTAAATCAGGTGGGGTATCAGGACCCCACTTTCGTCAACATTACCTCACCTACATTAGAAATCTCCCTTTGGCCCTTCTTCAGTGGTACTTTTCTTGGTAAGTCCTGACTTCATGTGAACAGATACACTTAAAATAAACATAGGTTTCTTGTCTGTTACTCTGATAGTAATCTTGATAATAATGATAATAATGATAATAATAATTATAATAATAATAATGATAATAATGATAATAATAACAGTAATAATAATAAACAAATATACCATGCACTGAGAGGCTCTAGTTGAAATTATGGATCAAGGTGGCAGGAATAGCACTTTTTTTTGAGGGGCGTAGCCCCGAAGAAAATAGTGCTGTTTCTGTCACCAAGGAATCCATAATTTCACTAGTGGCTTGAAATAGTGCATGATGTATTTGTTTTATATTTTCAAACCAAACTTTATAACAATAATGATCGATAATGATAATAATAATAATATTTACTGTCACTGAAGTAGTGTAGAGTCGGTAAGAGCAGCACAGATGACCGCGACCGATAACACATTGATCTTGATCGATCGCATATACATGACGTCATCCATGGTATAGTACACTATACCATGGATGACGTCACGGTTGCATCATAGCAATGTTATGTTTGGTCGCATGATGCTATGTTGACCAATCGCTGAACAGGATTTCATTCATCAAAAATATAATAATAACTATAATAACATTCAAATCAAATAATAATAATCATGATGATGATGATAATTATAATAATAATAATAACAATTACACAAAAAATAAAAATATTATTACCCCCGTCATCAAGTTCATTCAGGCACATAGTGTGCACCATTTTCACTCCCTGGGGAGTCCTCCCATACTGTCTCCATGAGAGCAAAGTCTATCATAACGACTTTCGTCATACTACCAGATCCCCATTTCTCTCCAGGGTATGGAGTGGCAAGTGTAGATTAGTGCTTTGCCAAAGGCCATTAGTGCCGTGTCAGGGGTCAAACCCACAACTTTTACAATTCCAGTCAAGTGCTAAAACCACTCAACTTTAACACTTCTACACGTCATATACAGTGGTTTAGGAAAAGTGCAATTGGTTTATTCACTCCTCATGACTGAATAGAAAATGTTTAAAACCATTAAATTTATTGAGACATTAAAAGTTAGCTATTAAACTCTGAATTGAGCAAAAGAAATAGTGATTCTACTGAAACTGTTGGAGATTGAAACACTTATTCCAAGTGGGATACTGGTATGTAAATTCTTAATTTTTTAAAGGAAACCTCTGCTATTAATTAAGGAACTTTAGCAACATGACACCTTTTTCAAATCATATAAAACAGCCATGATACCCATAATTTGCAGACAGATATTTTTGTTTGCTGCAAAAATTCAGTGATATCTCAGATTTATTCGGTTATTATTCTCTTTTAATCTTTTAGAGATACTATGTCCCTTTTGAATTGAATTGATTTATTTGCAGCCAACATCAAATTCTGTAGAACTTTGCAGGAATTAGGAATATGTCTGTCCTATCTGTGAAATTTAAACATTAGCAGTGTCCTCGTATTCAAATTATGCAAGGAAACCCGTTTACCTTCAAGACTTCACTGTCAGACACTACATTTTTATTGAGTGACTGACTGACATATTTTTTTCTTTGGTAATAACATACATAAAATGAGCTGTAACGGGTAAATGACCATTTGTCTACATCAATAACCCACTACTTGTAATGGCCAAAATTAACCTGATTGAATCTTTGTGCAGCACCAAACGTACAACCATTCAGTAAAAGGGTCTAAAAAATCAGACTATTACTTAGGTGATTGCAATCACTTAAGTCGATTAGACGATTAGACAACTAATGTTTGTTATTTTCGCACTAAAAGCCATTTTCAAGACCTTCCGTTTTGAGGGAAGATATAAATTAGTATTGTATTTCAAATACCGTTGGAATTTAACCTTTTTCATTTTTTTGGCCTGCAAATGGGACATAGTACCTTTAAAGGTGTAGTAATAACCAGTGCAATCTCAGTTTTTATTCAGTTTTTTATTCTCTTTTATAGGTGTGGCGCCCCCCTCGTTTGTTGCCATCCAGGCAGGTACGACCCTGTATCAGTTGACCCATGCAGGCGACGCCCTCTCCTGGACGTCTGTCATCGTCCTGGCTGTCTTAGCAGTCCTATCTATCCTACCAGCCGTCTTCAAGCAAAGGCTACAAGCAAAGTTTGAATAATATGAGTCCATACATCATCATCATCATCATTGAATCAGACAATGTTACAGGGAAACCAATCTTGTCACTACATCGGTTTTAGTAGTGTCGAAATATTAATATATGGTAGCAGACGTAATTAACATTTGTTGAGCGTATCCGGACACCTACCCCCTGGAAAACCACCCCCGGACAACTACCTCCTAGAGTAGTTGTCCTAGAAGGTGGTTGTCATAGGGGATAGTTGTCTAGGGGGTAGTTGTCCTGGGGTAGTTGTCTGGGGGGTAGTTGTCCTGGGGAAGTTGTGTGGGGGGTAGTTGTCTGGGGGGTATTTGTCTGGGGGTAGTCGTCCAGGGGGTAGTTGTCCTAGGGAGGTAGATGTCCTAGAGGTTGGTTGCCCAAGGGGTAAGTTCCTAGAGGGTGGTTATCCGGGCGGTGGTTATCCAGGGGGTGCGTGTCCTAGAACCATGATGGTATATATATTCACTTTTTTTAATCAGTTAAAAGCTATTTATGAAAACTGATTTGACAGTACATTTAGAATATTTGTTATAAAGTTTTGTTTATTTGTGTTTTCATTCTTTTGTTAATTTTTTTTTTATGTGTGTTAATATAAACCCATTAATATAAATAAAGTTTAATATATAATGCATTTCCCATTGGTTTAATTATTACTTTTTACATATCATTTAAAGATGCTTAGCACTCATGGGGAATTTGACACTGTTCGGGTGTATACCGAATAACAGGTGTTGTCAATCACCAGGATTAGCCTTCAGTTTTATGACCAACAGGCCTTATGTAATGCTCTGCATCTTCCACCGATAGCCCCATATTGCAAAGTTGTTATCATTCATTTCCCTCACCCGAAGACTCTCTGAGAAACCAGGGGTGTTTTTTTTATGGGACCACAGGTTTGCTGTGTAAGAGGCTTGTACACTCATTAGTGGTATTTCCACCAAGTCTGGTGTCAGGGAATTACGACCTATTGCACATGGACACCGTCTACCATCTCCATGTAACGTGTTATTCCATATCAGTGTGTATGCACAGTGAGGACCGACCTGCATTGTTATATGTGTTGCATCAGTGCAAGGTTGCCGATGAGCCGGACAGTGTAACAAACCAATTCAGCGGAATTGTTCCTCAAACATTCCTAGAGGTGTTGTGGTTAAAGGGATTGGGTAACTTTGTCTCAGATTCTGAAACAAAATCCTGGATTTAGCTCATGCTGCAATGATAATTATAAACTATTAGGTCAGTCAGGAACCCCATGACTTTTACAAGCCAATCGCCTGTCTAATTATGAAGATATTTATGATTGGAAATCGAAATCAAATCTTGCATTTTCCAAACGGTTTTCATAATAATACTTGAGTATGATCAAACCGGTCACTCAAAGATTTTTACTTTTTTAAGGCACTGCTTGCTTATTTTGAAGCGTAATTTTTGTAGGGCTTCAATATTACACCATATCACAGACACTGACAACACGTAGGTCTGTACATCTCAGATTTAACATGGTTAAACGATGCCTTTAAGTGGATACATCATTGTGGATCATATGGTTTGCGGTTCAAGTCCCGCCAGGGCACTAATGCCCTTTAGCAAGGCATTAATCTTCATTTGCCACTCTCCTTCCAGGTGTCAAACAGGTACCGGTAGGAAGGAAATCCTTGAATGCTGTGAGCACTGAAAACGGTAGCCTCCCAGATCTGAGGTATTCATCGGTATTGCCATGAGCACCTTGCATGGTGGATATGTGCCCTATGAAATACCAGTATCTAATAGTACCGGTATTATTATTATTATTATTGTTATTATTATTCAACAATATGATTATATAAGTAGATGTCATCAATTGTCTACAAACAAAAATTAAATGTCCACATTATCAGTGGCAGTAACTGCCTACTTGGGGGTCAGCCGATGATGCAGATTTGTTCCACAGAAACACCACACACAATGTACATTTGTCTGTAATAATCTTTATGATTGAAGGACACAAAACTACCTTCCTTCCTGATAAACCTTCAACATTCTCTTGGAAGACCCACAGATTTATCAAAGATAATAAAAATGAGAATTTTGTACCGTACCCATTTGAATTCTGCAATACACTGACATTATTATCTGATGTCAGAAATTTGAATGGAAATGTATGCTTTACAGTTAACTCTGCATAGCTTGAAGTTGCACTAGTAAAATTTTTCCCTAAGGCCTAAAAAAAAAAATTGATGACTTGGCGTAACCCGCCCGACCCTATTTTTATCGCCGACCCTACGCTTTTTTTTTTTTTTTTTAATTTTTATTTTTTTTTGATTTTTTTTTTTTGATAAAGGATTCTGAAATACTGAAGACATTTTTTAACTGTTTGTTATTACAGAGCCATTCACAATTGTAAATATTTTCACAAGTTGTAATTGGCTACTCTTCTCAACCCTCATTCTTCAAGATTTTGGATACATGTTAACATGTTAACATGTTAATCTCTAGACAAGTTATAAAAATGCTAGTCAATACATTGTGCAAATACTAATATTTGTGAACAGCCCCTTCTAAACCTACATATTCACCTGTTTATCCTGTTGAAGACAGTGTCTGAGATATCTCAGGCTGGGGTCTGTTGGAAACCTATTAATGCGTTCGTATGTTTATGTGCATGAGGGTGTATGTACATGTACATGTATGTATGCAGGGGGGGGGGGCAGGTGTATGTATGCATCCCCCAGGTCCCAAGGTGATCAAGATTTCAACAATTTCTTGCTCACTTTGCTCACACAGTGTGTGTGTGTCCATATATGTGTGTGTCCATATATGTGTGTGTGTGTGTGCGTGGAGTTATTTGAACATATTGTGGTCTACCCCTCTCATCAGATCATCCCCAAGGTCTGAGGACCTATCTACGCCACTGTATGTATGTATGTGTATGAATGGCTAATTTCATGTATGCAAATATAAGCAACAACAAAAAAACAAAAACAAAAACAAAAACAAAAACAAAAAAAAATCGCCCTACCTACCCTAATTTTCAGTGACCCGTTACGCCAAGTCATCAATTTTTTTGTTTAGGCCTAAGTCAAATCATTTTATTTGACCAAACTATGCAAAACATGCCATGTTATGTACCCCTCCCAACTCAAATTTTGCATAAGTCGAACTATACGTGCATTGTATGGTCCCAACCGATTCAACCTATGTTGAGTTAACTGTATTTGTTTTGTTGATAATTTCAACAAAAACCTGCCTTTCATAAACAAACTTATACCTTCTGTTGCAATATGCTTGTTTTACACGATATATTTGTTTCACATTGAAATTCATCATTTGATATTCCATTTTGTTTAATTTTCCAAAATATTCATTGTTATGTGTTTGGTTGTACATGTATATTTATTGATCCAAAGAAGCATTATGCTTCAATATATATATATATATATATATCGTATAGAATGTAATTAATGTTCATATGTCTGTACTCTCAACATATTGAAGACATTTGTCTTTACATTCGAAAGCCAATCAACAGGTTACACTCTCACCCAGATGCATGTATATTGTTTTCAGAGACATATCACATATTATCTGAACAATGTAGCAATAAAAGAAATAAATCATTGTTGCCAATTTGAAGAACAATATGTGATTTATATATGTGGGAGTGTCGTGGTCGAGTGGTTTAAGGCGCTTGACTGGAGATGCGAAGGTCGAGGGTTCGAATCCTGACATGGCACTAACATCCTTTTGCAAGATATTAACCTGCACTTGCTACTCTCCACCCAGGTGTTAAATGGGTACCCGTCATTGTTGGTCAAACAGTTTTTGAGCATCAAGTAACGTCTGGCTGGAATGCTCCCCAGGGAGTGGAGGTTGTGCACACAATGTGTGCGGGCAAGCACTGAATCCAATGACCGGGGTAATAGTATATTTGTAAAGCGCTAAGAGACATTTGTATTAAGCGCTATATAAAAATTAAATATTATTATTATTATTTTATATTGGCACAAATTATAAATGCTGTTCCGAAAGGGTTAAGTCCGGAAATGAATGTTCATTTTCCTGAAAAAAAGATGGCAGTACATTTTCTGGTAGAAAATGTCTCTCGAATCTGGGACATATATTCATAACATCTGCAGTATATATAATAAAGTGGAAACTTGTTACGAAGAGCTCTGATACAAGATCCCTTATATAACAAGGTCAAGTTACTGGTCTAATCTGTTTATGCTACTTTTTTCTTCTTTTTTGCCTGATATTAGAAGATAATTTTCATTGTCCTTATGTCTTCATTATAACGAGTTCCCACTGTAAGGCCAAATTTAAAAAAAAACATGTTTAGCGTCCTGTTATTTTGAAAAATAGGAAGGAGGAGGCCCTTTTTTTTTCTTTTTCTTTCAAAACGGCCGCTCAAAATGGCCGCTCGGTACATTTTCCCTGACAGTCGGGCTATTTTTCAAGATGGACGCCGACATTTTTTTTTTAGATCAGAAATAGATCCATTTTAGCAGTGTTTTTCATGTTTTTTTTTCTTTTAAAAAAAAAAATAAAAAAAAATAAAATAAAAACAAAATAGGAGGCGGCCCCCCAAAAGGAATCGGGCAGGGACGCTAAACATGTATATTTGTTTTAATGGCCTAATGTTACGCTTTACATGCTAATAAATGAAACCTTATTATGGTTACCTGATTCTGGTGATTAGAGGGATTTTAATAAAAGTTTAATATATAAAGTGTTAGTGTCACTAATATACGCACAAAATAATTGTAATTGGTATGGAGTTTTTATTTTGGCGGGTAGAGATAGGTTGTAAATTTTTGGTGCATATTTTTTTACCCGTCATAAATTAAATGCATTATACCTCATAATGGCTATTACCGTAGAGTATATTTTGTTTGTTTATTTCTCATGTTTAAAAATAAATAAATCATAATTCCATTGTGTTCTTTCAGCTCCTTTCTATTTTTCTATGTGCTCAGTACAAGGATTCTAAGCCAATTTTATCTTCCTTCTCTAAATCCATGGATGTATTATTTCCTGCCTTTAACTTTGATCTTTTACTCCTCTTTATATTAATTTGTTACTCCTGCCTTTAAAAAAAACACCATTATCTCCCCTTCTTTTGTTTCTTTTGACATATCTCCTTCACGTTGTCCCTCTTATAGGCCTATATCTATTTTCTCACCCTTTTGTTTCTCTCTCTCCATATTTCTAATACTTATCTTTCTATCAAGTTTCTTTTCTTCTCTCTCTCTCTCCCCCTCTCTCTATCCACCTCTTAGACTGTCTCATATACTATTTGTTTCTCATCTTTCTTTCGCATTTTGTTCCCAGTTTTCTTTTTCTTTATACGTAATTATAAATGTAAGATAGTGAAGTAAAATATAGGAAGGTTAAAAGCAGGGAATACATGATTTAAAAGAACACATTTCCAAAGCCAGAGACTTATTTACAACATAATATTTCACAAAAAGAAACCAGTGAGACAGAGAGAGAGAGAGAGAGAGAGACGGAGAGGGGGTGAGAGCAAAAGAGAGAAGAGGAAAGAAAGACGAAAAGAAGAGAGGAGAGAGAGGAGAGAGAGTGAGAGAAGGAATACACATTTGGTCAGTAAAAATATCTACTGATAAATGACGTCAAGCAACACATCAGTATACAATACACACAAGTAACGAACCAAAGACTACTTTTGAAAGTTTTGTAAGTTATATTTAGTCATCAGAAATTATATAGACAATACACAGTATAAGTCAACAATATCTCGGAATGCTAGTAACGATTTTTGTAATCTCTTTTTTTCCTCATTTTTTTCTTTCTAACTCTATTGCCTACCTACTATGAAAAAGGTGGGATTGATATAATACAAATGGAACAGTTCAAACACGATTAATAGAAATTCCCCGAGTCCGTTGAAATACCCCTTTATACAACAGCTATAACATTCTTCATTCATTTATCTCACTGTATTTTCGCGCACCCAGCATCCAAACTGGTCGCCAAAATAGTCGCGCGCAAATCATTGAACACAAATTTTACATCGCCGCCTAAACGCGCACGAAAATGGACACCATATTTCACACGATAAGACTGCCCATGCCCCTGCACGCCGCAGTTGCAGTTTCCTTGTATGTTTTCATTGAACATATATACATGATCTCATTCTGACATCAGATTTGCAATGTACCAACAACTATCACATTTGTTCAGTTAGTAAAAATGACAAATTCGATAGGTGATGAGAACCTTTCTTAGCATATGAATTTGATTAAAAATAAAGCCTTAGAGTTTTGGTGTCGGTTACAGGTATTTTTACGCTCATTCGCTCAGTCGATCCCCATGATCACAACTTTTAACGGGAAAAAGGGAAAGAAAGAATTTGACGTGACACTTCTTCACGAGGAAAGCTGTTCCATCTGATCTCACACACTTGTAGATTTATTCAAAAAAAGTGAAAATGCTTTCAATAGATTTCCTAAATCGCGATACAGACTCTCTCGTTTTGACCAAAACTTTCTGACATTAATAATTGGTGAAAAAACTGCTATATCAGCTTCATAAAATGGGCAACAAGTTTGATCAGCAAATTTGCAGATACTTCCCTGATGCTTTTATATCAAACGACATAACTAGTAATGTCATGGTCCTTGGAGCAGCGGTGTAGTAAAACGAGAGGGGGGGGGGGGGGACTGCATCCCCTACCCTTATTCCATTAAAAACCTAAGTATATGCCATTAACGAAGTGCGTTTCATTGCCATCGATTTTGACTGCATTTTGTAAGTAAGCAATCGAAGGTAGGTCCGAATTATAACCCCGAATTTGTCGTGTCCAGCTTTTTGAAGAAAGTTTACGGGCTAGTTATGGCGGACGATGAGGCTGACGTGAACACACACACACAGACACACGCGCATACCGCACTTACACATCCGCGCACGCACGCACAATTACAGTTTAGCGATAATCTGGGCCCTGTTTCATAAAACTTGATATCAATAACAAGTTACAAGCTACTGTTATAAGCTACTGAAATCGTGGCATCTGATTGGCTGAGAGCAAATTTGTCATTGATAACAAGTTTATGAAACAGGCCCCTGAGCCGGCTCCCCAGTGATACAAATGAACGAATGTATGAATATTAAATATCAGTTTCTATAGTACACAACAACATCATCATGATTTAAGTCGTTTTTTTCTTCATAACAAATCACAAGTAATTTCCGTAGACCTACCACATAGACAACACGGTACACTTATGCACGATCGGTACAATTGAACATTCAGTACAAAACATGGTCATAAAAATCATCTTTTTGAAAAAGTACAGATTAAAAACAAGTACCTTGTACGTCCGATATGAACAATACTAGCCTCTTTCACAAACCCTGTATCATAATTCTCTCTTTAAATACATAAAACAGAAGCATAACAATAATCATTTAACTATTCTTCATACAAGGGAATCAATCCCTTGGTTTCTACAATAAATGGCAGCTATAAGTGTGCTTTTCCCTGCTTTATAGGTCATTAAATTTGATCACTGATTCAAGCAAATTCGCGTTGACACTCGCGATTTGATATACTCTAAATTGTCAAAGTGAATACAAGAGATTAACTATGAAATAGCTAGGATTTATGTATCGTTTGATTGTTCGGTGGGGCAATAAAATAAATTGTACTGCCCGCAAAGATTTGTTAGACTACTTACGACCACAAAAACTGTCGTAAAACCACCTTATTAAGGACATTTCAATAGGCTTAGTGGATAGTGAGTACATGACGTCACAGACTCATGAGTGAGTTGCCAATTTGTCTAGTGATTTTCAAAGTTTTTAATGTCATTAAAAATTCATAACTTTCTTATTAGTTATCCGATTTTGCTCAGACTTTTTTTGATTGGTTTGTCTGATTTTTCTGCTTTTATTGAACGTAAGTTTTTTTGGGGTGGACTTGTCCTTTAAGCTGATTTCTCGAAAGTTTATGCGACCGTGCTATTGTTTCTAATAACTTTCTTAGCTTACTGAAAGTGTTCCATTTGAGTTAGGTCGATAAAACCACTCTACGTTTCAGGAACTGGACATTTTTTCCAACGAAAATCATTGCACAGCACATGCCAACAATATTTTCATTGTTATAAAAAGAACACGGGATCTCATCAAATTGATAAACATTTCAACTCAAAATATATTTGAATGATTGTATCATGATACTTCCTGTCTTTTATGGGGGACCTCTCGAAAATTACAAAATGGAAAACAAAATTATGTAACCGTTTCTCAGATCAAATCATATGAACGTTAACAAATAGATGGTACACGACGTGAAAGCGAAGTGAAAATGTGCATTGATGCATAAATCAAATCTTCTTCATTTTACAGAGGTAGAAATAAAATAATGTTATCAAACTCTACAGTATTGCGTAGTTCAATGTCAAATTCAAAGCAACGCTAATGTAACGTTAAAAATGTTGCTAAAAACTTGCAGCGCATTAAACAAAAAAGAAGGCAAAAATATAGGTAGTGTATTACGTAAAACAACTTAGTACTTTCAATATTATTGATTTGAAGCAGTAAATTGCATGCTTTCTTCCTCTTTACTCTTCCTCTTTCAACAAATCTCTCTATAGATTTCTTAAAAATTAGATTATAACAGGTTTATAATTGGTAAAATAAATCCAGAGTATATGAACATACTGAATATCAATTATTCCCAAAAAGGACAAAGCTTTATTATGACTTTACTGAGAACAAAATTAGTACCATTCTAGTAATCTCGAATGCCTGTCAGATAAACCTTTTCTGCTTTTCAACATAATTATATGCGTTGTACGTCTACACCCATTTTGTTCTAAGGCGATTCAAATAGATGGAAATCCTCGAGGAAATATACACTACTAAATACCTATAATGGGGCTGTCCTATATAGACAAGCCTGTAGAATAAAATGCAACGTATAATTTAAAGTCTTAAAGTTGACATTTATCCTTCTGAAATCCATTGCTTTTCCTTGATTTCTCACAACCTGATTATTTAGCCAGCAAGAAGGGAAAGGTGGATGAAAGTAAAACAATACATTAATATATTAATCTATTGTTTTCTGAGTGACTAAATAGCTACAACTAATTTTCAATTGTATTTAAATGAAATTGTCCATACCTTCGGAGCAAAAATTTTCTTTGATGTGTAAAGATCGCAAAATTTGCCTGATTTAGCAGCAAATAATTTATGAAACTTAAATTTCATCTAGTCAGATTCTAGCATTTACTACAGGTGGAACCAAATATTTCTTTGCCAAGTGTTCAGGTAAAAATTATCAAATATTTAAATGCATTTTAAACTGGCTTATTTAACATGCAAGTTTTAGTTTTAAGTTCTATCCTATGTGCCTGTATGGGTATTTACATCTGCTATCAAATTGTGAAGCTTATAATGCAAGTTCCATCTGTAAACCGTTGGTATATCGCGCAAGCCTCATGCATGCCAATGGCTGCCAATAATAACCATTGTAAAGGAGGTAGACCTATGCAAAATCTGAAATAATTATTCTGATCTGGACTTAGAGTTGGGTTCTGAAAGAGATCGGCTGTACAATGAAACAATCACATTTGGACAGCCTACTGTGATATTCAAACTTATCAAACACAGTACTGTGACGATCGAAGAGTGTTTTTGTACACAATAACATACGGGTACCCTGCGCATCCGATTGCAAATGACATCCTTCAGCGATGACGATAGTCGTTTCTTCCTCCGTCTCTCGATCGGGAGAAGAAGAGACTGGTACTAGTTTCTCATGACTACTGAATGCGTGGCCAGTATTGGTGTGACGGGTGGGTATCAGCCGGAGATGAGCCAGGCACCTGTACGGGTACAGACACACCGGGTGAGATCAGACCTGTACACAAAAGGGGGAAGAAAAAGAGGAGGAATAGTGATATCAATGACAAGAAAAGTAACAATAGAAGAATGATGATGGTAACACTAGTCTTGATGGTAATTAATCAATAAAGAATGACGTTGATCACGATGACAATAATATGATAACAATAACAATAACAAAAGTAGATATAATGATAAGAAGAATAAAAAGAAGAAGAAGAAGAAGGAAAAGGAGAAGAAAAAGAAAAAGAAGGAGGTGAAGAAGATACTTAATGATGAAGAAGGAGGAGAAGAAAGTGTAAAAGAAAACAATGAATAATGATATCAAGCAAAAAAGAGAGAACAAAGATGGAGAGAGAGAGAGTGCGAGAGAGATTGAGGGAGAAAAAGGAAAGGGCCCCCTGGGGATGAATTTCAAATTTGCTTTCGCACCATCCACATATGACTTGAACAAATAAAATTTGATTTCGTAATGATTCAACTGAAATTAAATTGAATTTCAATAGAAATGAAAAGACATTTTTTTAAATATTGATTGAATTGAATTGAGAAAACCAAATTGAACAGATATTGATATAATTGAAATTGAGTCATATGGATTAAAACTGAATTGGAACTGAATTGATATTGATCAAGATTGAAATTGAAACTTAAATCGAAATTGAAATTGATATTTCAACTTAGCATCATTTCAAGCACTGCTCAACTAGAATTGAAATAATTAGTCTCAGCTGACGGTGAATTTAAATTGGAATGAATTGATATGAATTGACATAGATCGAAATGAAGTTGGAATTGATAGTTCAACTTTGCATTATTGCAAGCACTGTTCAACTAGAATTGAAATAAGTAGTCTCAGCTGACGATGATTTTCAATTGGAATGAATTGATATGAATTGACATTGATTGAAATGAAGTTGAAATTGATATTTAATTGATCAAGATTGAAATTGAAACTTAAATTGAAATTGAAATTGGTATTTCAACTTACCATTATTGCAAGCGCTGTTCATATGAGTCTGATGCATCCCGTGGTGGGTGGGGGCGTGTCCATGTGACGTCATGGCATGGTGGTTAGGTGGAGCAGAGTAAAGAGAATCGTAACCATGGCTTGGTTGATGGAGCATTCTTGTGTAGGAGCTGGTGTCCCGGGGCTGCATCCCGATATTGGGACCAGAAGCCATCGAGAAACTCGGCATAGGTGGGATGGCGCTGTATCGAGGAACAATCGGAACATTAAATCAAAATAACAGTGGTGTTAACACTATGAACATGATGGACAAAGAAAGAGGATAAAATATACAGTTCCTCATTCTACCCTCAACAATTGCTGTGGTAGACATAGGAACATCCCTTCACTGCTATTATGTAAAATAAGTAGAACAGGTGAATATGCATGTGAAACCTGTTCTACACATTTTTACATAATAACAGAGAAGGGATGTTCCTTTGTCTACCACAGCAATTATTGTTGAGGGTAGAATGAGGAACTGTATATTTTGTCCTCTTTCTTTGTCCGTCATGTTCATAGTGTAAATTAGTGAAAGGCTTTCATAATCAAAATATTGATCGTAAACAATATATGCAAAATGACTTGAGATCGCTGGTTAAAGATAACTGACATCTTGCTATCAACATTATGTAAAAAAGAATGGCAATGCTGCAAATTTGATGATATTCATTATTATTACATATTACAAGATTGCTTGGAAACTTCTTGTTCCCGAAGGAACTTGATTTTATGTCCTTACATGGATTTTGATGTATTCTTATTTACTGCGACGTCTTAATCGGATTTTGCTCGAACTTTCACCGACCTGGGGCCCGTTTCACAAAGCCTTTTTTCAATGTCAAATGACGAAAATCAGTGACAAATCTGCTGATAACCAATCAGAAGCAAGGATTTCAGTAGCTTATAACAAAAACTGTCAATGGTCATGCACTGATGACAAGTTTTGTGAAACGCCCCCTGTTTCTCTCATGTTCCTGCTTCTATGAAAACCAGCTTGATATCAGGGTGGACTTCCCCTTCATAATACTTAGAAAACCAGAATCTACCAAGTAGAAAAAAGCAGTAAAGTTCAAAGTTCAAAGTTGAAACCTACCTGTACGAGTCCGGTGCGGTACGGGGTACCATGGTGGCCGCGGAGGGTTGTGGGATCGGTTGATACACACTCACATTGTTGGTACTGTAACCGCTACTTAGTGGCAGATGACTGGAAGACTGTGTATGTACCCCACCCACCTCGGCCTGCTGTCTTCTCTGATTGCGCAGTTTCTCCTCGCGGCGCCATTTTGCACGGCGATTCGAAAACCACACCTATATCAAAGAAAGAAATGGAATTCAATTTCAATTTCGATTTATATTTCTATGAAAAATATAATAATTACATAATGAATACATACAACAAATAAGAAAGAAAATGGGAGGGGGGAAGAAGTAAACAACAATTAGGAGTAGAATCGAGCTTGTCACACATGCGGCACATATTTTTTTGTTATGGTGATTGTAACTGTAAGCACCACTACCAACCAAAAAGCTGCTTATCAACACTTTAAAGCTCCACTGCACTACTTATAGGTACTTGCGCCCTCTATATAGCAAACAATGCCTAAGTGGTGATCGTTGGTTCCCCATGGTTTCCTTTTTCTCTTGTGAATTGAGAGCTGGTTTGATGACCCAGTGACCATGCAGGGAGTTGTAATCCCTCCTGGCCAAACTAGTGCAGATAGGCTTTAAAGGAGAAGCTGGTGTGAAACGTTTGAGCATATTTTCATGGAAGGTGACTGTCTTTAGAAGACCTTTCTGGACTTGTGTGGTGCCCTTGATTCCATATATTATCCTATGCATATTTTATTGCGATCCAATATATTGAACTAGAACTTAACTACATGTATCTTTTTAATAATAATATTAAGTAATATTTTTGATAATAATAATAATGATAATGTAATCATGATCTCAAGGTCAGAGCTTAAATTACCTGTATTCTAGCTTCCGGTAGGTCAATTTTCTGTGCCAGCCTCTCTCGTGCAAAGACATCTGGGTAATGTGTTCGTTCAAATTCTGTAGAAAAGACAAAATGTGAATAAGAAATGATTAGTTAAATCATAAACGTTTGGGAAAAGAAATACGAAAATGTATTATCACTCATTGTAAATGGAGGAGGATATAGAAATGGTTAATATATAGGGTAAAAGTATTCTGGTTCATAATTAATTCGAAATTCTCTAGTGAAGGCCTATGTGGTGAGTCATCAACGTTCACTTCCAATGCATTCATTTCCTTCAACTGTCTGTCTTCGTGGAGCTTTCTCTCCGTCTTTCTCTTCCTCGCTTTGTCTCTCTCTCTGTCTCTCTCTGTCTCTCTATCTCTTTATCTGCCTCTTCGACTCTTCTCTCTCATCCATTCTTAAATTCACCTGTCCCTATCCCACCCATGACTTCTGATCGAACCCTCCCGTAATATTTCCCTCCCCTCCTCGTTTCTCATCCTCTCTCTCTCACCCACTCACTGTTTTATTCCTATTTCCTTTAATCAATCCATATCTTCCCCTCATAATTTCAAATCCCTCTCCCAATCTTTCCTTTTCCGATCTATAATTATCTACTTTCATTAACAGAGCCATCCCGCAAGTTTCCTTCCCGTCTCAATGAGTAAAAAAGACAATCTTTTATGAAGATAAGGCTGTATGAATATCACGACATCATTAAGAGCTCCTCTTTCTGTTGTCATCTATCCCGTTCTCTGTCTCTCTCGCTCTCTCGCTCTCTCTCTCTCTCTCTCTCCTATTTTTTAATTCATGTACGTCGGTGAAATTCCCGCGCGTACGGGGCAATCACCCGCCAATATTTCACGGGACAAGTCAGGCGTAAGTATGTCGCGAGCGTCTCGCTAAAAGGCCCGCTTTTGACAGCCTATACGGCGGAGACCTTGGCGCCTAATTGGATGGTATTGGCGAAGGTGCAATACCAGTTTCATCACGGATTCGGCCCTAGTGGATTCGGCTCCGACATTGGTGGTCTACTAAAATGTGCACTATGGAAAGATTGTCATAATGATCCTTATTCATCACTGTGAATTATAAATCAGATCACTGCGTTTGAATTTAGTATTAAAATGATACTACTAGGCCTATACTACTACTACTACTACTACTACTACTACAGCAACGAAGACTACTGTCAGTACTGTACTTCTACTACTACAACACTACTTCTACTATAATAATGACAACATCAACACACAACCTGCACAACATATGATGATGATGATGGTAATATTATTATTACTAATAGCATCATTAATAGTTATCATAATACTAATTACATAAATTTAAGTTCTTTATTCTTAAAGCGTCTACAGAATCATGCTTTTACCATCATTATCATCACTCTTAAGTATTCTTTTTGATAAACTTTGCAGTGTCATTTTCAACTTTCCTGAAATGACCCTATACAATAAGAATGTATACGATGATAAAACCTAGAGAATCTCTGAAGATCTATAGATAAAGGTTGATAGAAGTTATGACAATTTCACTTTTACAGTGGGATAGCCATGGGGGGGGGGCACATGCCCTAAATCAAAGAAAAAAGGAAATAATTATATTTGTTTGTTAAAGGCAATGGGTAAAAGAAGGCGATAGGACCCCTCCCACCATATCCCCTCACTTGAGGCGCTAGTAATACCAGTTCCCGGTCACCCAAGATACCCCCTATAAATACCAGAGTAGGCCTATACCCATGCTAAAACCCAAACACACCTTTTTTTTTGCTAATAAAAAACAAACCCCATTTGGTTTCATAAAGGAGAGCGAGCCCCTAAATATAGCCGAATACCAGTAAATACTGTTAAGCAATGGAATTCGTTAGTTTTCATTCCTCTAAAATGTTGAACATCTTTGTAATTCTATTTTCTAACCATCAAGTATGACATGCTGCAAAACTATTACAAAAATAATGACACAAATTATAGAATAATATGTCCTTTTACCCTAGTTTTTTTCCTGACATAGCTATAATCGGCAATGAGCTTTCGATTTTCTGTTCAATATTTTTACGCATAGCTATTCCGGTAGGGAATACTAGGACGTTTTCCGATATGAAAGATTGTCACGGCCAAGTAAAGGCTATATTGATGTAATGTGTTGAGAGGGATATGACACGTATTAATGCGTGACCTTGGCGTGGCCGTGCGTATTATCACGCGCGTACGTGTGCACATTAGCGCGCGCTCGGCTGCGTTACGCTGTCTATGCGACTCGTATCGCGATGTCGCACCCCGCTCGAGAAACATGATGTCATGTGAAAACATGTCCTATAGATACATGAATAGGTTGTGTGTTTTTTCTTCAAATGAGAGAGAAATAACTTAGTAGTAAAAAAATTGAAACACTCATGTCTCATGCATTTCATATTTAAACTGATTCTATCAAATATAAATAAAATTTCATTCTCTTCAGCATTGGTGATCAATTGAATTATTTTGTTCACCTCTTCACGTTGTTCTTAGTTTCTAAATTGCTGATAAATACATGTTTATATTCCTATAATAATCCTTTCAGACCTATTTCTCAAAATGACAACAAAAAGACATTGGAAGCTCGTCTGTTTCCAGGAAGCAGCTTGCACACAGCGATTCAAACTCAGATATAAAGTTATTATTTCCAGGGGATAAGCGTAATACTTAAGTGTCATAATCGTCAATATCATAAATACATTCAACAGTATCCTTTAAAAAAGCATTACTCAATCAAAAGAGAATTTTGTTTTAAGTTTAATGACATCGTTCACTTCATGTCTTCATCATCATTCGTGCTTCTTTGTAAGTTAATGGTATACAGTATATTATGCCTATATATATTTACTTTTAATCTGAATGATTGTGAAGAGGAAACGCTTTTTAGGTATTCCCGGTGTAATGCAATGCCTATATAATAATTTATATCAAGCAAACAATGAAAATGTGTATTTAGATCGAAATTGGACAAGTCTTTTAGGCTCTATGACACAATGAGTTATAAAGAAGCAAGAGAAGAAAGGGGGAAGAAGGAGAAGGAGAACCCCAAGAAGAAGGAAAAAAATAGATTTTAAACAAAGGAAAATTAATGAAGATGAAGAAAAAGAAGAAGAAAGAAGAGGAAGAGGTAGAAGGAGGAGAAGAAGGAGAAGAAGGAGAGAAAGAAGAGGGAAATTATATGAAAAAAAGGAATAAAGAAGCAAGAGAAAACAGGGGAAGACGGAGTAGGAGAACCCCAAGAAGAAGACAAAAAAAAAACGATTTAAAAAAGCAAATGAAGATGAAGAAAAAGAAGAAGAAAGAAGAGGAAAGGGTAGGAGGAGGAAAAGAAGGAAAAGAATGAGAGAAAGGAGAGGAATTATTTAAAAAAAAGAATAAATGGATAACAATTTTATTCAACCGGACAGTATTTTCAATGATCACCGGACTTGGGCGTACGCCACCGTCAAGTCGTCGCCTAGCTAGCAACGGGCGATTACCGTCCTGGTCTGCCGGACCGCCGGCCTAGGTTTGGCGCTAATCGCGTTACGCGGCTAAGTGCACAGTCTTGCCACCTCGCACGGCCACGGCGGCTTTGGACACCAGGGGGGTGTTTCACAAAGATCCTAAGTAGAACTTAACACTAAGTTGGACTAAAAAATTATGGACAGCCATTGGAGCCTTAAAATGAAATATATTCAAAAGCAAAAATTCAAGTATTTTAGACTTTTTTTAATTATAAATTCCACATCAAGAACATGAAATCTCCTTGATGATAAAAAATATGAATGATTTGAATCAACATTTTATGCCTTTCAAAATTACTTTTACAAAATATTTTCAAAGATGCTAACGGCTTTCCATAATTTTTAATTCCAACTTAGAGATAAGTTCAATTTAGAATCTTTGTGAAACACCCCCCTGAATACGGCGGATATTTTTATTTTCCAAGAAGAGACGGTTATTTATACATGATGAAGATTGACAAGGAGTACCTTTTCAGGGTTATATGCTTCATGATTTCATGGTACGGTCATCATTGTAAACCAATACTTATATTGAAATACAGGGAACCAAAACGAAGATTTATGCCCCCAAATTATTCATTTGTAATATATACCTGAATGATTTGTAATGTTCTTTGTATTAATGATCTACATGTATTTATATTCATAATTTATCAATTTCATTGTACTCAATTTAAAAATGTTCATAATCATGTTGAAAATGAAGGCCTATGTATTATCAATCCAACCCTTTGGTTGCTACGAATGAATAAATAAAGGAATATAAAATGCACATAATATTTTGATGACACCTTATCAATTAACGCAGAGATTTTTGCTTCATTTACTTTTTCTTTATGTTAATCAGTTAATATCTCGTACAAGCAGGGAGGTGAGTACAAGTATGAACAAAAGTGATATGATCATAAAGAGCAATAACACGAATTAAACACATATGCAATTCAAGTAGGCCTAATGAGGCTTAATTTTCGTTGTGAAAAAAGAAAAGAAAAAATAATGTTATACAGAAAAATCAACAATATATATAACGTTGTTTTAAATCACAAAGTTATTCCTGTGTCATACCAAAATAAAGATCTTGCGTATGTTACTACAATTATCCCAAAAGTAAACAGAAAGCAAGTCGGAAATGTCCTTATTAAATCACAAAATAGGCCTACGACAAATTCAGATATCATAACTCCGTAATATTGCGTATTTGCTATGACGATCTATGACATTGTTTGTTTGAAAGGCCTAAAGGCTGCCCTTTTCTGTCAAAATAATGAAAGGCAGATAACACAGGGCAATCCCTGTCTCCCGTAAGTATGTAGAAGCCAAACGAACGAGGAAATAACACAAATATTAGCGCGTTATCCCCACACCCATTAAGTCTACGGTGTCCTTCAATTATAAAAATGAAAACAAACTACCACTGCCATGGTCAAGCGTAATTACCATCAATTCCAACAACAGCTTCACTTCACTCTACTCCAAAATAAATACTCGTATGCCCTGATCGTGAAGACAGTTATGATGAATCATGGTAGATTTGAATGTTGGTTTTATTTCTTTGTTACTCAATAGGGACTTTTAGATTTGCTTGGACTGATGATACGTGTGACGTCCATTCAAGGCAGTGCATTAAAAGGACGTCGATCATAGCAATCCACGTTGTCGTTGTGCAAATCTAAAAGTCCCTAATGACGATCATCGGTTCACTGGTATCAGTCATTCATTGCATACAAGATAATCAATTCGTTAAAAAAATGGTATAGGAAGGCTCTTTCGAGGAATAAAGAAATCGAGGTCAGATGGTGACAATGAAAATTTATTCATTTACCTTTGCAACTTTACAAAAATTATATTTTCGTCGATTAGTTGACTTTTGGAGCTTTCAAATCTGAGAAATATTAATATTGAATCTGATAAATTGTCTATAATTTCTAAATACTCTTATTCCTTAATCACGTATTACCATGTTTAAAAAAAAATGCTTGCACATGATGTATTTTGCTATGAAAGGTGGAAAGGGGGACAATAAGCACATAATATTCATTAAAAATAGGAAACGGATCGAAGAATCATCCCGTGGATGGATAATAGGTGAACAATATACGGAAAGGAAATAAATTTGACCACAAGCAACCGCCTAGACCACATGCCCTCTGGGCGTTTCAAAGAAACTCTTTCAAGGTAGGTGTTTTTGTGCCCCTTTTAGAGTACCTAATTACTTAATTCTGGTGTAAAAGGCTTCATATAATACGGAAAATATCGATTAAATCCCCCAGCTGCACCTTTTCTGAAAAATGAAACTGCTTTTCTGACGAAGAATTCAGTTTAGTGCACGAACTTTTGGGGAACTCTTTATGATTTTCATCGAATTAAAGACCTATGGTAAGTGTAGAAAATCCCCAAAATATCCTCGAAATATTCATGTACCATCATATATTTATCACTACAATGTACTTTTGCTATCATGGTTTTATTCCAAATAGATTGGTTGTGGTTAGGGCTTGTTCATCTAAACTTCAATTGAGCAATATTGAGACCATAATCAACTTATTAATATTAATAACATTCTTGAAAATAAGGAAATTTTGACAAAATGAACTAAAATGACTGAACGAAATAGTGCAATAAGTTCTTTCAAAAGGACCGTGAGGATTAATACAATTCTTGGACAGAAAGTGAAAATACCATGACATTCAAGACTCTTGTGAAAATCCGTTTTTTTTTTTGGTGACAATTACACAATGCAAAATATAAGAACATCCTCATGTTAATAGCGAGCTCAATGGTGCACACTATTGTTTTATGCCAGAAAAAAGCTGTTGCCGATAATACACATGATGCATGATAATTATGAATGTAATAACCCATGTATGATATCATAACCTAGGGGTATGTCGCAGAGTGCTCAATACTTTGAGTTCCCAATCCTTAATCCAGACGAATGGATATGATGAAGGATAGCTGGTAACTACCATACTGAAACTGACAGACGGTCGAAAGACGCTTGGTTGAGAAAATTGACAAATTAGTTCTACTCGGCACCCCTTGACGCTGATGAATCAATTTACGAAGAATTAAACAAAAACATCCCCCAAGAACGGCGTCCAAAACGCGACGAAATACCCTCCGAACTTTTTTTTCATCATCTTTTCCCCAATTCCCCCACGGATCAAACAGTGCTCGCATTCCCAGTGCGATAGTGGCTGATAGTCAATTATTTACCGTTTTCACGACTGGGGATAAAGGCCACAAGGCTTGTGCGCGTCGGCGCAGTTTTTGGCAAGCAATATATCGAAACGCAGTGATGCTTCGCTAGGGAGAACCATTCTTTCTCGATTAGACGTCTTCCCAGGTGTATGGTGATTAAATATTAACACGGTCTTCCAAATAGCTTCGGGCCTTGAATCAGTACTGTGTTCGGGCTTAATGAGCTTATAATTACCACTTGTGCTAGGATCTGTCGATTTGCGGCGCTTCTTTTAGCCCAATAGTTCCTGATGAAATACATTTAAAGTATCAACGCCGAATTATCCCCCTTTTTCAAAGCATATTTACTCAATTCTGTATTAGCTTGATTAAGAGAGAAGTAGAGTGCACATGGCACGGTAACTGCGATATTCAGGATTTAAAACGGAGAGACAAAAGAACCACAGGGTAATAAATGAGAAATTTAATGATTGGGAGATACACAATTCTTCAATTCCAAATGATAATCGACGTCTATGATACATCTAATTATCTTTTTTTATTATTCCATCTCCCTTTTGTTATTCTTCACAGATATATCTACTTACTCGGTTTTGAAAAGTTTCAATTTCGATCGCAACACATGTGTCTGAAAAAGACTGACGCACTGCCAAAACCTACTTCTTTATCATTACACTTATTCTAATGAACCCTTCAGTATATACAGCTCAAAAGGCCTGCTTCATATTTGTCATTTCTGAGGTAATGATAGTCAAGTTCTCAATACTGTACAAAAGTCCTATCGCAGGGAGATAGTACTTTCTATCATTGATCATTTGACTTCGTTTAGACCAATCAGATTGCAAGATTCTTAGTATGCGGGATATAAGTGGACTTAATATGTTGGATAACCGACAGATGTTGAAATGTACTTATCCGATCTCCGAGCATTCATTCTAATTATCTTCATACACGTCCGAAATTTTTTGAAGAGATATCAGAATCGACACGACTTTCCTCCGTGAAATCCTACTTTATCAATTAAATTAACAGTAACATTCAAAGAATTTATAATTCGTAAGAAAGGTGTCAGTTTCTTATTAAGTAGGCCTATACTACAAAATAAATGCCAAATGAAAAGGTGAACAAGAAAAACAAATACAACTCGAACCCTTAACTTAAAGTGAAAGATGATTTCGACATTAAATTAAATCTAACCACAATTTTTATCAGTGAGAAAAAAAGGACCGAAAGCCTCCCGCCCTCATAAAGAGAGAGAAAGAGAGAGAGAGAGAGAGAGAGAGAGAGAAATAGATAGAGAGAGAGAAAGAGATTCTCATGCAGTCAAAAATGTTATTGTTGTTCAACTTTAACTATCTATCAAGTATTACTTTGAAAATAAAACCATTCCAAAAATAGATGAGTAGGTTTATCTCATGATACAAAAATATTAGGGATAAGCAATAAAAACAAACTCCAAAAGACGATAACGAAATCTACATTGGAATACATGGTTATTTTTTTTTATATAGTTACAATTCTGTTTGTAATGCAGGTATTTAGATGTCAGACACGCAGGGTGTTTGCATTTCTTTTCAACTTATATCCCGAGCATGTGGGAGCAAAGCGTGAACAATTCACCAGCTTTTGCGAAGCTTAATCCGGATAAGACAAAAATCACCGCGCGTGAAATTGTTTAATTTCTGTAAGAAAACCGGTGATAAATCACCTTTCAATCTCTTCAAAGCATCCAATTTATCTTAGATTGCCTACAATTGTGCTGGTTTGCAAGTTTGAATGGTTGTGTCAGTGTTGGTGGTTCAAACTATTGTCATCTAAATAAACAGCAATAATAGGTAGGTTCAATGTGCTATGGTTAGCTGGAGAAGATCACATTACCAAGGCGTGCATTGCATTTGTCGCGGTTCCTTTCATTTCAATTTATCTAGCGCGAGAAAACGAATTTTCTCATTACTTCAAGTATTTCAAAAAGATGGAGAATAAAAAAAGAACCTTCACTATTTTTCTCACGGTTTAACCCTTATTTACTCTTACTAGCTTTGCATGGTATCTCAACATTGTTTAATTGGGAGTTAACATACAATTCGTGATTTGCTAGATGACTTTAACGACTTAAAATACAGGTAGTAAATAAACAAGGGCACAATTATGAAATACAGACTTTTTCCCCTAAGGAAAATCTCTTCCTTTCTCTCTTCATTATATAGTTCAAAAGATTAATTTAATTTTCTTATTTGGCATGGATCGTGAGGTAAATAGCTTTTGGCGTCAAAAGCAACTATCATATTGATGTAAAAATAAACTTTCAGAAGGAATGATGCCAAGAACTTATAATGAATGAACAGATGCACACATTTTACTTATAACAGAAGAGGGTTATTGGTGAAGAATCAATCGTTTGACACTCAACCTAAATCTCAGTCCTGGCTATCAAACTAAGGGTTATTCTTGCTCCTAATCTCCAATTCAATCTGGCTCTCAATCTGCACTTGATCTTAATTTCTCTCTTAATCTTTGCCTCTCGCCTTAATCTCAATCTCAGCCCCCCTCTCAATATCAATCAACCTCAACCACTGCGTCCAAGTTTGGTTCCAAATTTTAATCTACGATTTGAACGCCAGTTTAGTGCTGAAGGCACAACACCGAAACCAATTCAATGCTATAGTTCCCCTTGGCAAGGCATTCATCCTTATTACCAAGTCCCTCGGAGAGGACTTACAGCCATCAGTTCCCAGGTTGCTAATATACAAGCATACACATGCTTTATTAGCAGGCAGGTAAACTCAACTAACCAACCAAACCAACCTCGAACTTGGTTAACCCTTAGCTTACTGGAACCGGGTGATTCCTGTATAAACCTATGGGGAATATGACAGTTTTAGGAGATAATGGGTTAAATTCTTACCTTTCTCAAGTTCCTCTATCTGTTGAGCAGTGAAGGATGTTCTGTTCCTCTGTAATTTCCTTTTCAGTCGTAATCTAGCTTGAGCATCCTCATCATCTTCCGCAGCCTTCGGTTCATGCTCACCTGAAAAATAAAAATAATGTGACTGATTTAATTTTTTGAGCTAATGAATATTCTATGTTTCCATCATTGACAAAATGAAGTGATAGGGTCAATTAAAGTGCATGGTCATTAATGCGGATGGGGGGGGGGGGGGGATTTCCTCTATTTTTTTTCTAAAGAAAGGAGGTTTCAATGTATTACATGTGTTATGTGGAAACAAAAACAAGGAGCTCTCTCCTGTTTTTTCCCCACCGACGAAATACAAATAACAGTGACAAGTCTGAAAAAGAAACACATGCGGAATAAGTGTGTGTATGTTAGTGAGAGAAAGAGAGAGAGAGAGAGAGAAAGAGAGAGAGAAAGTGAGAGAGAGAGAAAGAGAGAGAGAGAGAGAGAGAGAAAGAGAGAGAGAGAGAGAGAAAGAGAGAGAGAGAGAGAGAGAAAGAGAGAGAAAATGGAGGCAAATAATATCATGAAATAGGAACATAGTTCTATCATCATGAGCTTAAGAACATAATAATGATCACAGAGCTCTAGCTTCTTGCTTAGTATAATTACAAGTTTAGTGAATTGCCTCTGATGAGTCAAATCAACTGATGATTTACTATTGTTGTTTACATATCTTCATCAAGAACAAAAATCAACAACTAACAACAACAAGACAACTAGGACTTTACAGATATGATTATAGTACAGTGCTTAGAAATAGTAGTGTCAAGCGCTGTATAATCATATTTTACTATCATTATCGTTATCATTATGAAAAAAAATGCTGTTTCATTTCTTTGGCTTCAGATTTTTGAGTCAACATGTGTGATAAAAACGTACAGAAGGTGTTAGCGTTCTCAAACCACGGCATCCAACCTGTCCCAGAGTACTCGCCAAATTGCGGCATGGAAAGTCTTGGGTTCGGGATGCTCCAAACGCCTACTAGACGGCTTTCACTATACCCCCTTCAGATCAAAGACAGACACACGCTCTCGCCGCAAAAGAGATACCTGCATCCCCTTGTTACTGACTTTTGTGTCAACTTATTATTGGTGATTTTCGGTTATCTTGTGGTAGGTAGATCCCATGAAGATGTAGACGAACCAAAGAGTTCTTCCGAAGGAGCATTGACAGTGAAGGTATGTCACCAAGTGGGAATCGTTGACTCAAGGAATATAGTCTCCTTTGACTTTAATCCCGATGATATCCACTTTCATGAATCCAAATACAGCTTTCAAGATCACCTGTAGATATCCTCCCCTGGCAGAGTGTATGAATGTAACTGTAAAAGGCAAATTGGCTGCGGTAATCAAATGGGGGATTCCCTCGGTTATGCAATTAAAGAGTTCATCTGCACTTTAGCATCAAATTTGCGATTGTTTCAACGAGAAGCTATGACAAATGGGTTATGTTCTACGACAAACAACGAAGAAAGAAAAGTGTAGTGGTAGACAGATAATGCAGAACTTTCTAAACGTTTTCCTCAGCTTTCCTTAAAGATAATGTTCTCCAAGAGGAATATCAAGTAATCTTAGAGTGACTCAACTTTCTCCAGGTGGATAGCTAACCAATCGACAACACAGTTCTTTATTTGGCGGGTCTCAATCAACTGGTGACTTCAAAACTTGCTACTGTTAACCAACTCTGCCAAAAGTCTGCACGAGACTGTCAAAATATAGCATGGTGAAAAATCACCATTGCATGCACCAAGTTTTTAATCATAAAAGAAACACTTATTTCAAGTGCGTTCAATGACACTAGACTCTAAAGTGCAATTTTGCAATAAACAACAGAGAATAGTGAGGCTCTTTATTCGTCCAACAGTACATTCAATTGAAGCTCTTTATTTGTATGAAAAGACACAAAACAGTCCTCGATCTAGAGTCTTTTCTACTTCACACGTGACAATAAATTCCGTAACAAAAGTGCACAATTACCTTTCGGCCCATTCGGTTTGCAATTTGGTTTCCCGAATGATTACTCACCCCGCAAAAATTCAGTTTTAAGGTCAAATAAATAATTAACACAACATTCAATGAAACATTGGACCGATTTAGTGAAATTATATATCTGATCATATTCAAACATGCTTTTGATAGCATTGACATGCATATGTATATATATATATATATATATATATATATATATATATATATATATATTCTTCTTATGTGTTGTGTGGGTGAACCATGCTGAAACTTTGTGAATTGTTGAGTAAATTTCGATTTTCCTCATAGAAATGGACCTCACAGTACGGTGTTACTATTAATTGTACCACTTGTGGGAAGTTTTTGTTTAAAAGAGAGAAAACTAAAACGCACGCACTCAGTGAACTAAATACATGTATATTGAATTCTTTTGAAAGTATATATGGCAATAGATTCTGGTATAGAGTACTGATTTCGGTTAAATCGTAGGTGAAGGCATTGGGGACTAAAATATCTGTCTCGGTTTAATATTTTACACATACCTCCATTTCAACCAGATCTTTATTCTAAATTTAAGAAAGGAGCAGAAATAAAATGAAATATTCTATTTCTTTGTATCCCAACGCTTGTTCGATTATAGATGTAAGCTCATAATTAAAACAATTACCAAAGGAAATATTCAAAACTATTTTCTCGATGGACTTTCATACGATATGTATTGTCAACTTTACAAATTAGGCAGCGGTAAACACAATCTTGAATGTGACAGTCCATACAATGCATGCATGCACGCTGCATAGCGATACTCGGCTGTTTTTACTTGACAATTGTGAAAAATTGAAAGAAATCTATCGGACAAAAGTACTCTAATTTTCATATTTCTATACTCCCTATTATTTCCCTACCCGTTCCCCTCTTCCAACTTTTCTTGGCGTACTTTTGAATTTAATTATTTACAAGAAGCGATTCCATTTTCCTTTTTCTTCTTTCGGCACCTTTCTCTATACAACTATACAAAGAATTCAAGAATAAGCTTTGGGGTATAATAGTTCTGAGGAAGGTTGCTATTTTGTTTTCTCACTTTTTCAAACTTCAAATATTTCAAGGATTTCTACATTTCTTGATTTAAAAACTCGAATATAGGTCATTCTCATATATATTTTTTCTCAACATGATCTATCTTATATCCACATTGTGAAAATATGAATTATATATCAAAATAATTTTTGCCTGTGGTAATTATCAGTTTAGTGGTTTGGTTTGCATTTGTCTTGACTTCAAACATACTTTAGCGTAATTATGATCATTCTTAAGTGATACGAACTCAATCAAGTCATATTGTTTTATCCGTATGTCTTCTAAATAATAATACAGGACATCATAATATTCGAGATTTGTAAGGCGCCGAATCGACAGCAAATACTCACGGGCGCATTTGAAAATAAATAATCGTAGAATAAACCGTTTCCCCTAAATTCTGAAATCGTCTGAATGAAAATTTAAAAAAAATTCCCCCTAATTAACCCACGAAACATGTGAACAATATAATTATATATAAATTCAAATTGTCTACGTTTTGAATATCTTGGCCGTAACACAAGAGAAAAAATTTGACAAATATTTGTCTTTATTACTGTTTTAATGTTATATATTACAGGAAAATATACAATGAAAGGTCTAAACAGTAACGAAAATATGATGAATACGATGATTTCATGTTGATGTGCAGTCATTAGGGTGTCATATTATATTCTAATATTGTATCCTTTTCACAAGGACATGTCTCTGTTAAAAACATTTCCTTACGAACTGTAGCTACCGAGTACCGGGTAGCCCCCAATTAACATAGGCCTACACTCAAATACTTTTCTTATTTTCAAAATACATTATTTTCAAAATACATTTAGATCTAAACGGTCACACTGGCATTCAGATGTTTGTTTATTTATGTATTCTTTTTTGAATGATTATTTCTTAATAGAAAAACGGTACATATTTAAAGCCCTCATATTTTCATGCTACGGTTGTTCAGACTATATCTCCAGAAGAACTATAAAGAGCGCCAGCTATGTCATTGTTACGTTTACTAAAATCAGGATAACTACAAAATATTCTATTAGACTCCCAAGTTTCGCAAAGCTATGCATTTTTTTCCATTATTACATTACAGGTAAAGAAAGAACTTTTGAAAGACAGCAAAGAGCGTTTGTTGGTTGGGAAAAGACAGAAACAATAATAACATTAAAGAGTGTGAGAAAGTTATATCTTACTGAAAACTGAAAATTAAAATTGTGGTTACCTAAGAGAATGATAAAAAAAACAAAAAACATAACAAATCATTGGGAAATGAAAGCTTGATTGGAACTCCATCGCTAATCCATAAGTCGACAACAAATTGGAATGAAATTTTCATCTCCTTTATTGCTCTAGACAGTGTATTTGATCAATGAGATTTCTATGGCTTTGTCTAGAATTTACACGTCTATTTTCTGTGAGGAGGATTCGAAACAAATAAAGATGCATCGTTCGAGGATGCAGGTACATTTGCTATATGACTGACCGATAAATGACTGGGCAATAAACGACATGAGTAAATTAAAGAGAATAGTGGGAAAGAAGTATGTGCAGATGAAGAGAGGGGGGATGAGGGGGGGGGGCAGGAACAGAAGGTGCGCGTTCCCCTGTTGAAGAATGGACGTATAAAGCTTGCTCGCGCTCTCAATAGCACGCATTCATTGTAAGGTGTGTTTTTTCGGGCGCCCCCTCAAAATGTGAATCCCTGGATCCACATTTGGAGAGAGGGAGGGAGAAAGAGAGAAAGAGAAAATCGGAGTGAGTGGGTAGAAGGGAGCGAGAAACAGGGGAAAACAGAGAGGGAGGGATAGAGAGAGAGAAAGATAGAGAGAGAGCGGGGCAGAGAGAGAGAGAGAGAGAAGGCTGCCTCAAAGTTGTTGAAAATGGAGAATTATACAATGATTGCTGACTTGCTCAAGGCAATTTTCGAGGAGAGAAAAGAACGTATACAGACGGGGAGACGGCGGTGAGGGGCGCTGTAAAAAACGTTTAAATTCATCGGCTAGCTTGAACATCATAACAATCTTAAAA